GGTTGACCAGCAAAGAACACAACACAGCCAGAAACTTCAGGTGTGGTGCATGTGCAAAATGATTTTATTGCAGAGCAAAGCAGCTCCAGCGCCAGGAGTAGCACATGAGGGAGAAGCTTTCCATACGAGGTGTGGACAGGGCCTCAGTTGTGAAGGGCTGCAATTTGAATCTGTCCCAAAAGATTTTTACCTGTGGGGAGCTTGGGCAGAACATTTTTACCAGCTCAGGACATGTCCAACAACAGGCTATTTACACCTGGGAAAGGCCAAATGAAATGTCAACATCTGGGGTGGGTTCTCAAAGATAAAACATTATCACACAAGGAAAGAATGTAAGAAAGCCACAGGCTGCAAACATACTTCTTCCAGAACAGGTTGTCCAAACTGGAAGACTGTTTTTTGTGCCGTGAACATGAAAAATGTTTTCTAGGAACCTCTGGTCTTTATCATCATCAGAAAAATAAAAAAAGAGGAAGCCTTACATGGATTCCTGCCACACTCACTGCACTTACATGTGCAGTGAATGTGGGAAATATTTTATCAAGAACTCTGCCCTTGTTATCATGAGAAATTAATACAAGAGAACATTATCATCAGAGTTCAAATAGAATGAAGACTTTTTGAGAATGGTAAATATTCGTAATCTTTTAGCCAAAATTATATCATGTTTGGACAAATGAGAGTTCACTTTGGAGGATATTTTTGGATGTGTAGAAAATGTACACTTTTACCCTGGCTGGTGTAGCTCAGTGGATGCAAGCGAGTGCTGTCCTGTGAACCAAAGGGTTACCAGTTCAATTCCCAGTCAGGGCACATTGCCTGGGTTGTGGGCCAGGTCCCCAATTGGGAATGTGCCAGAAATAACCTAACATTGATGTTTCTCTCTCTTTTTCTCCCTCCCTTCTCTCTCTAAAAATAAATAAAGAAAATCTTTAAAAAAATATACACTGTCTTTGGTTCGGTTTAACAACACTGGAGAAAACTCTGAGGAGTCATTTTTCTGAATTTAATCATTTACATGCAAACATCAAAGGAAGGGAGATATTGAAATAACTATTAGTTGTCTGGAAAGAATCTGTTTATATCTTTCATAATTTCATTTATTTCTTCTTAAGGAGGGGGGAGGGAGAAAGTGAGTGAAACATTCATGCCAGAAATAAATATCAAGAGGTATTGAATACCCCAAAGGCCTGAACCCGCAACCCAGACATGTGCCCTGACTGGAAATCTAAGCAGCCACTTTTTGCTTTGGGGGACAGTAACACTCAATCAACTGAGCCACACGAGTCATGGGAAAGTATGTGTGTTTATGTTACATTTTTTAAACTTCCCAGGGTTCTTGTTAGATTTATGTCAATGGAAGTTTCTGTGTCCAAAACTATTTCACCTGTACCACCTAGCAGGTACTCACAGTTTTTTCTTTCTTTAAATCTTCAGTTTTCATCGGTCACTGTCCTACTGTCCTCAGGGAAGCTGACTTTGTTCTCTGATTTGTTGGAGGAAATTAGGAGTAGCCTGAGCCCTTAGGAGATCTGCATTTCTGTCACTCTGACTAGTTGGTGCATGGACCTGACTTAGTGTTGACCCCAGAAAACAGCATCTGAGTTCAGCTGGCAGCTTGCAAAACATGTTTCTTTTTGGAAAACCTGTTGTCTGGAAATAATCCGTTTATATTTTTCACAATTTCATTTATTTATTTTTAGGGAGAGGGGGAGGGAGAAAGTGAGTGAAACATTCTGTATCCTATATTTTTCCAGGATAGCTCTGGTGAATATTTCCAGCATTGAAGTCACAGGATAGAATGGCCAGGTCCATGTCTGTTTGGTGTGTAAAATAATGAAGGTGTGTTTTTGTTTAAGTCCCCTTTCAGTTTGGATGTTTTATTTACTGTGTGGGGTAGGATATAGCCAGATTTGTGCTCTACAAGCATGAAGAAGTAAACAAATTTTATGGTGGTTTCAGAATTTCTCTGCCTCACAGGTGGCGCAACGGTGCCAAAATTAGTGCTGCCCACCTCCTTCTAGGTCAGATTGCGGAGCTCTGTGATACTCATATCAAGTCTGGATGCTATGAGTTTTAGGAGTCACAGGTCAGTTTCAAGAGGGGTAACAACTTCAGTTGCATGTAGGATCAGCATGACTTGTTTCCTTTGTCAGAGTAATGCACCATTTTCAAGGGAATCACTCAGAAACTCTTGCAAGGAATGCTATGTCCTAATGCCAACAGTACAATTGGTGTTGGTCACTGGTCTTAGGACCAAAGGGGTATGGAAAACCATGATTGCTACACAATAGCTGGGCTAATAGAGATTGGAGGAGACTGCAGCCAAATAGATGGAATGTGCCTCTTCTAAATGTGCATCCACAAAGGTTCCTGGCAAAAGACTGCCAGATCAGTGTGTTCACAAATCTGACGATCTTCAGGCAAGTTTCTTTTTATGGCCAAAGTCATTGTTATAGAAAATCATCAAAAGATTTTGCAGATTTCTTTGCCTTCTCAGATATTTATCTGAAGATTATTGGTGTCCAGGCAGGAAGTCAGTGTTACCAAAAAGTGTTATCTATTGTTCAGAAATGTGATTTTTGTGACCCAGTCAGCATTCTTATTGAATAAGTGAAAGATGTTCAGTGTGGTATATTGTCACTGAGAAGTGCTACCTCTGTAGTGCATGAGAATATGGATTGAATAGAGTTTCCAAACCTATTTCTAAAAAGTCTTGGGCATATAGATATTTATATGATATAGATATTTATATTTAGATATTAAATATAGATATTTGTATTTATAAGGCACATCATAATTACATTGCCCAAAATTAAAGATAAGGAGAGAATCCTAAAAGCAGCAAGAGAAAAGGAGAGAGTTACCTATGAAGGAGTTCCCATAAGACTGTCAGCTGATTTCTCAAAAGAAAACTTGAAGGCAAGAAGGGGCTGGAGAGAAGTATTCCAAGTCAGGAAAGACAAGAACCTACATCCAAGATTACTGTATCCAGCAAAACTATCATTTAGAATGGAAGGGCAGATAAAGTGCTTTCCAGACAAGATCAAGTTAAAAAAAATCATCATCACCACACCCTTATTATATGAAATGTTAAAGGGAGTTATCTATGAAAAAGAAAATGATAAAAAATATGAACAGTATAATGACAACAAACTCACAACTATCAACAACTGAACCTGAAAAATAAAAAACAAAAACAAACTAAGCAAACAATTAGAACAGGAACAGAATCACGGAAATGGAGATCACATGGAGGGTTATCAGTGGGGAGGGGAGGGGGGAGACTGGGGGGGGAAATGTACAGGGAATAAGAAGCATAAACGGTAGGTACAAAATAGACAGTGGGAGGTTAAGAAATAACATAGGAATGGAGAAGCCAAAGAACTTATATGTATGACCCATGGACATAAAGGTGCAGGGGTGAACAGTGGTGAAGAGGAATGCAAGGCAGAGGGGACTAAAGGGGAAAATGGGATAACTGTAATAGCATAATCAATAAAATATATTTTTTAAAAAAGAAAATAAATAAATAAGTTTACAACCTGGCTTTAAAACCTTAAATGAAGTCTAGCCAAGTAGTCAAAAAGAATATATTTTATGTTATTGTAAATTATAAGGTGGTAGGTGCTGTTGAAACATGAAAAAAGCAGCACAACACAAATAAAAGTATGTGCATCCTGCATATTTTAGAGCTTTCACTGAAACAGTGAAGAAGGTTGTGATTAGATCAGGATGCTGTTCTGTGGACAATAAAAATGCAGTACAATTTTCCCATGTTTGCAGCTTGGCTGTAGTGTCAGACCATTTCTATGACCACTGTGCCCATAGCAGGGTGCTGAAAATACTGTGTTTTTTACTTTTTGAAAAATGATTTTTAAGTAATATCTGGTAAGTTTTTAGATTTTTCAACTCCTCTCATGTTATCTAGTTTTAATTTGTTTTTCAGGCTTTGGATTATATTTTAGTGTTATGTTTGCTCTAAATTTTTAATTAAGACAGGCTTCTTCGCAGGTTCGATTCCCAGTCAGGGCACATACCTGGGTTGCAGGCCATGGCCCCCAGCAACGGCACATTGATGTTTCTCTCTCTCTCTTTCTACCTCCCTTCTCTCCCTAAAAAATAAATAAATAAATAAATAAATAAATAAATAAATAAATAAAATCTTAAAAAAAAAGACAGGCTTCTTACAGTACTGTTGATATTTGATATTATTGCACACATGTATGCCCATATTTTTTTTGTTAATCCTAACATTTTATGTGCTTTTTAATTTTCTGGGGTATACATAGGTTGAGTATGAATATGTACTTTATTTACTCTAAGTATAATTTCTAAATAGATTCATCTTATTCCACGGGGAATGTGAGAAACATGTCGCCCCTGCTCTTAAATATGTCTGCACAGGGGAAAATCTCTTTCCTTATGATAACTGCAATATCACTTTGAAGTTAGAATAGTACAAATAACCTTGTCAGAATTCAATTCTCCCAGTTTTTCAAAACTTTATTTTTCTTAATGGATGTTTCTAACTAAACAGTTGACTTCCATTTAAGTTTATATTTTGTACCTTAGTTATTTTCTATATCAAACATGTGACTTACATTCTTGTGTTACTTCTGACGCAGGTGCGGTGGTGTAAGTAAACCATTTATCTGAAAAACTTTTTCAGGCCCTGTCATGCAGAAGTACTTCCTTTTTCTGTGACTGGCTGTGTGGTGTTGCAGAGATAATGCATGTTCATCATCGTGCACGCGAGTACTGTCACCAGACAGAAAACATCATTTATCCTTTTCAGAACGCGTTATCTCCCAGTAGCTTTTCCAGGGAGTCTGGGTCTTGTCTCTTGGTGTCAGGTAGGAAACCTCTTTTCAATTCCTTGGGCTCTAGGAACCACAGTACCCAGAAGGCTGTTCAAGGGCTGAGCCTATAAGGCCCAGAAAAGGCTTTTCTGCTGGGGCCAAACGCATGTGGGCGGGACTTCCGTCGCCCTGCTGGCGGGCATTTTGTCTTCTCTCAGAATCACCTCACCCTAGGAAGGATGGTGAATGCAGTCCCGCAGTGGAGATCCTAGTGACAAGAAATCGAAGAGACCTGGTCGTGGGGTCACAAAAGCGATTGTGAGCGTCTGTGACTCCGCTTAGGTAACCGAGATGGGGACCACGATGCCCGACGACCCCTCCTGGCCCGCTGCTCCCGCCCTGCTCCTCACACAGAGTTTGCCTGCGGCGACCCCTCCGAGGAGCCCAGTTGAGGTGAGTGCGCGTCCCAGCGCCCTCCATTCTCAGCCCACGGAGCCCTGAAGGCTCCGGGAGAGGGGCCCCTGTCCCGTCCTGCAGCCCACGCCCCGGCCTCGTTAATCGTAGGTGCTCATTGGTGACACAGGGTGTGAAGGGGCTGAAGGGACCACCTGCTGACACCCTGAAAGACCCGCAAACTGGGATCGGCCTCACATCTGCTTGAAACGGTCTGAAGCGGAGTCACGTCCTGACTGGGAGGCAGGGGGGTTGCACCTTCATTCTGAGGGTCCTGGGAGCCCGGAATGGTCGTGAACAGAGAGAAACACAGGTTCCGTCACGGTTTTGAAAGCCTTTTAGACCTTTCTGAGGTAGAAAACCGACTGGAGTGGGGTGATGAGGACAGTGGGGCACAGGAAGAGGGCCGTTTTTCAAGATCACAGGGCTGATAAGCGGCCGTGCTGAGTAGACATTTGGCCGGAGGTCACCAGACTCCAGGGCTGGGCGAGGATACAGCTGACACCTGCTTACCTGGAGCTGAAGGGTGGTTGATTGCTTCTTCCCACAGGTTCTGAGGTTGAAAATCATTATCAAACTAGACAAGGAAGTATAGGGTGTCCCAGTCCCTCCCTGGTGATAACACTACTGTAATAGTGTCCAAAGACTCTTCCTTTGGTTTTTTTCCTGGCTCTTGGATGTGGGGACCCTGGGGATACCCCAATCCTGAGTGCAGGTCACTGGTAATATCAAGGTGCTCCCACTTCTTGTGTCAATTAAAGAAAATTTCAAATCTTTAGAGAAATTTAAAAAAATATTCTATTTATTTGTAGGGAGACGGGAAGGGAAGGAGGGACACATCAATGTGTGGTTGCCTCTCGTTTGCCCCCTATAGGGGCATGACTTTGCTTGCAACCCAGGCATGTGCCCTGACTGGAAATGGAACCAGCCACCCTTTGGTTCACAGGCCAGTGCTCAATCCACTGATCCACACCAGCCAGGGTACTTTAGAACATTTTTAAGAAATCTTTATTATATTTTTTCTAGTATCATTTATTCCCCCTTTACCCCTTAGAGACTTTTAAAAATGTTTATTTTAGTCAAAAGGACGTTGATTACAAAGAAACAATGGAGTGAGAAAATGCTTCAGAAAATGGCATTTTTACTACTTGTTTTATACATCAGAATCAAAAGGGAAGACATAAGTGGAAAATGTGACATCAATTGGTGATAGGTTAGAGAGGCAGGAATATACAAAGAAGGAAACTCTGATATTAGATAAAAATAAAAATGTTCATTTATATTTGTGGGTACAAGATAGTTAATATTTAATTAATTAACACTATAATAACAGTGAGGGGTTTTTGGTCTCTTTTTCTGGTGCAGTGTTTGTGTTTTGCAGGGTAAGAAAAAAGGAAATTATCCTGATATCCTAAGGGTATGTTAACATAAGTGCAAAAATACAAAGATGGGACTAGTTAAGGTAAAAATTGACCTTCCTCAAGGAAGATACTGACTTAGGACATGGCTACTTACCATGACTTGCTTTTAGTTAGAATGTTTTAAATTCAGACTATATATAAGGGTGGTTTCAGTTTTTCATTTTGTAGGCCATCATGGAGGACTCCCCTAAGCTGATCAGGTTTAGTTTGTGCCCTCCCTTTTTTTTTCCAGTCCACACAGGCAGCCACTTTAAACAGTTAATTCAGGTAACCCAGGAAGGGACACCTGCACTTAATAATGCTTAGAGATGTCACAGAACTTAGAATAGGTACCTCAGGTCTCCTTTGTTTGTGTTAAAAACAAGGAGCAAGAGGATCAAGAATTAGACTTATAAAGTGGCCAAATAGTAATTAGGGTATTCATAGTGGGGATGCTGGAGTATTTGCATAAGGGAAAGAAGTTGGTTTCTCCTGGATTTAACAGGCTCCTTGTGGATGCATACTGGAAATACATATTATGGGGGTTAATGGAGGAGGCAGGGAGCACTGGCCTAGGCAAGTTCTATGATCCAAAGGAGAGCTGATAGATGCAGAGGAGAGCTGATTAACAAGAAATGGGCCTCAGGTAGGAGAAAAGGTTGGTTTCTTGGTCCATCTTTTATTTTCTTATTATGTGTTTTTACATTACCCTTTATCCCCCTCATACCCTCTTCCACCTCCATCCACACTTTCCCCCTTCCATTTCTAAAGAATGTCAAGTAGAGTTGCAGATTTTGCAGCTGCAGGAGAGAAAGGAAAGGGTTCAAAATCACTCTAGCATTTTTCATCCTAGCACCTGAAGCAGTGGAGGCTCCATCAGCTGGGCAGGGGAGGATGGTGGTATGTTAATTCTCTTTGAGAATATCAGAAGGATGTTTTGATTCACACTTTTAAAAGTTTCAAAGAGCAGTGAGTGGAAATATCTCGTGAGTGAACACAGGGGTCTGGAAATCTGTGGAAGGGTTGAGGTAGGAGTAATTAAAAAATGGTGGCTCTTTAGGGTGAGGGTTAAGGTGGTAGAGCTGAGGTTGTGTGTTGGGAACTGCCCTGCCTGGTTTCAGGACCTATAACCCCCTCATGGCTAAGGCTGAGTGAGTGACCTTGGGACTGTAAGCCACTAAGGAGACAAAGCTTATCTCCATGGCAGGGGTGCTGCCTCTGCTTCTTTTACTTTATCCTGCCTTACCCCCAATGCTTGATGGATTAGCCAATGATGGGTAAGATTCCTCAAGGGAGGGACGACCTAAGACACGCATAGTCACAGGGACCCCCAGAGAAGGACTTGGGGGCTACAGAAAAGGGGTGATAGACCCTCGCCCCTTGGCTTTGACATAGGCCTGACTTAAGCATGAAATAATGCTGGTGGTGGGTGCAGCCCTGTGCTGGAAAGGGCAGGTTCCCTAGGGCAATCAGGCCTAAGGAAGAATACCTAAAATACTGTGAAACCTGCTTTGTTAAGAATGCTCTCAATTAAATGATAAGAGTCCAAGCAGGAAGTGAGTTGGTTCCTCAAAGTTTTATGGCTATTTAGCTATCTAACCCTGACTCAAAATAGGCCCTTAGAGTTCTCTGCATGTTATCTATTGTTTGGTCCTTACTGCCTGATAATTATTAATGAGCTTTACGTATACACACCCTGTATTCCTATGCAAATTGAATCCAATAAAAGTCTCTCAAGGCTAGGGTCAGGACACTCTCATTTTGAGAGGGTGGCAGAGGCCTCCGAGGCTTGCTCTTCCCTTGAGAGAGAAGTTGCACCATCCCTTTTTCTCCATAATGCTGCGGACACTGTGGGCCAGTGTCTGCATCAGGTGTGAACCCCAGGGTAAAGATCTGAAGGGGTAGAGATCACACAGTTGTGCACAGCTAGAGATAGTGTGAACTCATGGTTCTAGGTACCTGGTGTAGGGAATTAAGGGTGAAGCATAAGACCATGTTTGGTTGTGTCTTGAAGGTATGATGTGGGAGACTCAGTGCATAGGATGAGGCTCTGCAGGGTGGACCCTGAGTTTAGATGGCATTTATCTGCCCCACTTCCTGTTATCCTGCCTATCTATGCCAAGGGCAATGTGAGTGATTAATGAGATTGTGATGAGAGTGCAGGCAGCTCCGGCAGCACCAAGGGCTCTTTTCTCAACTAAGGACCCTGTAGGGGGTTGAGTGTGGGTAAGAGTAAGATAGTGAGTTCTCAGACACACTTTTCCACATTTATTTTCATTAATTCCGACAGGTTGTTGTGGTCTTTGAGGATGTCGCCATGTATTTCTCCAGGACAGAATGGTGCCTCCTTGGTGAGGCTCAGAGATGCCTGTACCTTGAGGTGATGCTGGAAAACTATGCTCTTATATCATCACTGGGTAAGACAGTCACTCTCCCATTGCACTCTTCTTTGGTATGCCTTCACTCCCCATTCTTATGGGTTTCCTTTTGCTTCTATTCTAAGCTCTAATGGTCCTGACCAGACTCATACCCAGGGAGGAATGGATAGCAGCATCTGGGCTTTGGTGTGTTGTAGGAACCTCAGTTCTCCTTTCTGACACAGTAAAGAATTACAGACCAGCAAGTTTACTAGCGTGCAAACAGAATTTATTACTAATACCTTCTCATGGAAGAGAATGGGTCTTGCAAAGTTGGGGGTATAAGTTGTAGGTTTACTTCAAGGCAAGGGTGGCAAAAAGCATCAGGACTTTGTCCTTAGGACTCATGTAGTGGGAGGATTGGGGTGAGATGTTACATATTTACTGATGGGCAAAGGTGGTGCCAGCTTTCCCTGGGGGAATGTGACTACCCAAAAGTCAGTATATAGTCAGGGTCTGTCAGCCTGAATTCTTATCTTGATCCAGACCACATTTGGTCATCTTGTAAAACAGATACATGACAGGAGGCAGGTAATTAAAGTTGAGGTGGTTTTCCAAAGTTATTTATGGGATCTTTCTGTAAACACTAGGGACCTCCTCATAAAACAGATAGTGACCAGAAACAGGCAATTAACCAAAGCTGTTTTATGAACCTTGTTTGGGTGCTGTGGGTCCCCTTCCCCCTTTCTTTCAACACTGGGGATGAATGCACAGTTTCAAAGGCTTTCTTCCCCCAGACAGGGAAAACTATACATAGAATTTCAAGGGCTTCCCCCCTCCTGTGCTAGCATGTGTTTTCTGTGATATTGGGAACACCTGGCAATATTATTGGACCAGATTCAGGACTGCTGAGGTAGTGGGTGAGACATGTCTTCCTTCTCCTCCTTGACTTTACTACCTATTCTGCCTGACAGGATCACTCGTAATCCTCTCTCTAGGGATCCTTCTTTTTGCTTCATTGTCCCAACCTTCAGGAAACTAACTCACATTGTCAAGAAACAATAAAACCCCCACTCTCTCCTGGTGACCTTGACTAAGGTTTGCATAGTCCCCATGCCCTCTGTTCCCTAGGGAGCCCTCTGCTCTCACGCATTGATTTTGGGCACTGCTTGCTTGCTTCAGTTTTCTGAGTAGATCCTGGACTTGGCTGAGCTGGTTTGTTTGCACTGCCCCCTTCTCTCCCTGCATCCCCAATACCTGCTATACTGAACCCTCTTAGGGAAGAATTTGAAATCAGCAGTGTTGCCAGAGGCTAATGGATTTCTCATTGGTTAGTGAGAAAATATATTTTTTATATTTCTGTTGATCATCCTACAACTATATATATTTTTTATCCTCAATGGAAAATATTTTTATTGATTGTTAGAAGAAGGGAGGGAGAAGTAGAAACATCGGTGTGAAAGAGAAGCATGGATAAGTTGCCCCCATATATACCTTTAATAGGGGTTCAAACCCAAAACCTATTCATGCATGGGACCATGCTATAACTAACTGAGCCACTTGGGCAGGGCTGGATAAAACACTATACATATATTTATTAGTTCTGTTTTCTCAATATGTTCAAACTTCAATAATTCCTTATTGCTTTCAAATGGGATAATCTGCCCATTGTTGAAAGGGGGATATTTAAGTTGTCTAGTACTGTTGCATTGTGTTTTCTGCCTTTAGATCTCATCTTGTTGGCTTAATGTACTTAGGTGCTCTGTGGTTGGTTGCATTGTAATTCACATTCAAATTCCTACACACCCATACATCATAAGCAGGAAGGGCTGCAGGCAGCCATTAACAGAAATATTTTGTAAACCCCTCTTCCTTGTGTCCTGTTGTGTCCTATTATCCTTCAATTAATGAGGTGTCCATTATCACTGACCTCAGGGGTTTATTTAGAGCCTGTCACACTTGTCTTGATAATCATCACATAGAATCGTACCAGATGTTACAGATGCAAATTAGTGATGAGAAAACCCTCTCCCTGTGGGTCAGTATGGACTTCACTAGCATTTGTTTTTCTTCAGGTTGTTGCTGTGCAGCAGAGCATGTGGTGGCACCCACTGAACAGAATATTACTATAAGAATCTCAAAGGCTATGAATCTGAAGTCAGCACTGTCTTTCCAGAAGAGCCACCCATGTGAAAGTTGTGGATGTGTCTTGAGAGACATTTTCCTCTTGTTTGACCAGCAGGGAACCCAACAGAAGCCGATACTGCTGAAGTGTGGGGCATGTGCAAAACCATTTTATTTCAGTGCACAGGGTTACCAGCAGCAGGAGCAGGGCACAACAGAGAATTGTTTCATAAGCAATGTGGACAGGGTTTCACTTGAAAAGAGCTGCAATTCCCATATGTCATGGAATCCTTGTACTTCTAGTCAGGTTGGAAAATGCTTCATCAGCCCCCAACATCTAGAGCAATTGGATGTTCCCACCATGCACAGGACAAACAAAATCTCTAAGTCTGGAATGACTTTACAAAGTACAAAATATTACACTACAAGAGAATGCAAGAAAGCCATTGACTGTGATACACTTCTTGAGGACCAGGGATTCCTTCCTGGAAGACAATGTTTTATGAACTGTGAAATTGGAAAAACTGTTAACTGTAGCTCTTCCCTCCCTGTTCATCAGAGAGTTCACAGTGGAGAGAGGCCTTATGAATGCATTGAATGTGGAAAATCTTTTAACTTTAGCTCTGAACTTTCTAAACATTCTGGAGAAAGGACTTACACATGTGATAAATGTGGGACATCTTTTACCTATAGTTCTACCTTCTGTTATCATCAGACAGTTAACACTGGAGAAAGGCCTTATGAGTGCAGTGGATGTGGAAAATCTTTTACCTTTATCTCAGCCCTCCATTATCATTACAGAGTTCACACTGGAGAAAGGCCTCATAAGTGCAGTCAATGTGGAAAATCTTTTACTAGTAGTTCGAACCTCCGTTATCATCACAGAATTCACACTGGAGAAAGACCTTACAAGTGCGGTGAATGTGGGAAGTCTTTTACCCACCGCTCTCCCCTGCATGCACATGAGAAAGTTCACATTGCAGAGAGGCCTTATGTGTGTAGTAAATGTGGGAAATCTTTTAAGAGAAAAGGTATCTTTAACTCTCATCAGAAAGTTCACACTGGAGAAAGGCCTTATCAGTGCAGTGAATGTGGGAAATATTTTAAGAGAAAAGATTACTTTAATTCTCATCAGAGACTTCACACTGGAGAAAGGCTTAATAAATGTGGTGAATGTGGGAAATATTTTACCCATAGCTCTACCCTGCGTAAACATCAGAAAGTTCACACTGTAGAAAAGCCTTATGAGTGCCGTGAATGTGGGAAGTATTTTAAGAGAAAAGATAACTTTAATTCTCATCACAGAGTACACACCGGAGAAAGACCTTATACATGTGGTGAATGTGGGAAATCTTTTACCCACAGCTCTACCCTGTGTAAACATCAGAGAGTTCATAGTGGAGAAAGGCCTTATGAGTGCAGTGAATGTGGAAAATTTTTTACGCGTAGCTCATCCCTCCATTATCATCACAGAATTCACACTGGAGAAAGGCCTTATAAGTGCAGTAAGTGCAAAAAATCTTTTACCCGTAGCTCTGAACTTAGTAAACATCACAGAGTTCATAGAGGAGAAAAGCCTTAGTAGTGTGATAAATGTGGGAAATTGTAGACCAGTAGCTCTGCCCTCTGTAAACTTCACAGAGTTCACACTTGAAAAAGGCCTTACGAGTGCAGGGGGTATGGGAAACTTTATACCTGTAGCTGTGCCCTCCATTTTTATCAGTGTTCACACTGGATGAAGACCTTATGAATGCACTAAATTAGGAAATCCTTTATGTCTATCAGTCAGGTCCATTACCATCAAAGAGTTCACACTAAACGAATACCTGTGAGGGCAGTAAATGCAGGAAATGTTTTCTCTGTAGCATTAACCTTCATTGTTATCAGAGACTGCACACATAGCAAAGTTTTATGGCTACAGGAAATGTGAGAAATTTTGTTTTATCAGTAACCTTTGTTATCCTTAGAGACTTCACATAGGAGAAAGGCTGTATGAGTGCAATGAAATTGGAAATATCTTTTTCTGTGCAGTTCTTGCTATTGTCATCAGAGAATTCATAATGGAATGGCCTTATGCCTGCAGTGAACGTGTGTAATGTTTTTCGTGTATCAGTGATTTCCACTAGTATGTTAGAATTTCACTGGGGAAATGCAATTACAGTAATTATGAATATGAAGTATTTTAACTGTAGCCATTCCCTTCATTGTTATTAGAGAATTGACAATGTCTTAGTTCTTATAACTAAAGAAAACTTGAGAAATCTTATTTTCTATCCATTGTGTGTGTTAACTTCTGAGAAGTCACTCAGGGGAAACATTTTTACATACATCAAATATGAGAAGTTTTTGGGTTTTTTGTATCACTAGCCTCCATTATATTCCTATTTTCATTCTGGTGGAAGGCCTCATGAGTACAGGGAATGTGGGAAAATATTTTTTGATTCTTTCTCTTTTCTATCATCCGAGAGTTTACACATAGATAGGCCTTATGGGGATATCACATGCAGGAAATCTTTTACCTCGTAGCCATAACTGCTTTAATCATAGTTCACACTGGTTAAAGTCTTCGAACATGAAGTGAACACAGGAAATCTTTAGCCATAAGTCTCTACCCTTTGAATACTGGAGAGTTCTAACTGTCTAAATGGTTACTAAAATTTCAGGAAATGTACTATTTTTTTCAGTGTAATGACTCTAAAGAAAACTTACTGAGAAAAATGTCTGAGTTTAATTTTATATGTTCATGGTGTGGACATGTCTCAGAAGTTTAATGTTTAAATTTTGAAGAACCTAACAAAGTACGACCTAAACTAATGGTACCTTTTGGATTCATATTTATAGTGTATGAGGGTTGCATTTCCCCACTCTAACAAAATCTTAATTGTTTAATTTTTATCATTTTAGCTTTTTTCATACATATATCATGTACTCACTGTTTTAGTTGCATTTCCCTAAGGATTTTTGATGAACGTTTTTGCAGGAGTGTATGTACTAGAGATATTTTTTTAGTAAAATGTGTGCTCACATAATTTACCTATTAATTTGGGTACTCCCCTTTAACACAGGACAGTGAAACAACAAAGATCTATGTTGTAGTATCACCCATTTTCAATCCTGAATAACAAATACTTTTTTATTTATGAATTAGCTGTTTTGTAAAATAATTGTTTTTAGTTTTTTAAGATTTTATGTATTTATGTATTTATGTAGAGAGAGAGGAAGGGAGGGAGAAAGAAAGGGAGAGAAACATCAATGTGTGGATGCCTCTCAAGTGGCCCCCACTAGGGACCCAGCCCACAATCCAGGCATGTGCCCTGACTGGCAACCCTTTGGTTTGCGGCCCATGCTCAATCCACTGAACTACACCAGGCAGGTGAATAACTGTTTTTAATAGTGGAAAACATACCCAAATTATTTGGATTTTTTTTTGAAAAGATTTTATTTATTTTTAGAGAGGGGAAGGGAAGGAGAAAGAGGGACAGAAACATCTGTGTGTGGTTGCCTTTCACATGCCTCCCTACTGGGGACCTGGCCTGCAGCCCAGGCATGTGCCCTGTGAGGAGATTGAAACAGTGAACCATTGGTTCACAGGCTGGAGTTTAATCCACTGAGCCACAACAGCCAGGGCTGTTTGGTTTTTTTTTTTTTGTTTTGGTTTGGTTTTTTGGCTGTACACAATGTAGTTGGCACATTTTATATACTTGAACGAATAATCTGAATCATTAACACTTTATTGATTTTGTAAATTCAAACATACAGTAATAAAATAAAAAGCTTTGCTTCTTAGTTTTCAGCCATTTGTGGTCTATCATCTGAGGTTTGCTGGGCTGCAGCAGGAGTTGAAGGTGCACCAGTTGGTAATAGGATGGATGTATACCTTCCACGTTCTCCCGAACACAAGAGAACAAGTGACTGAACTCACTTTATCTTGGCCTTCCAACCTGGGATTAAATCATAGGTTACTGACTGTTGTTATGATTGTAGGAAAGTGGTGCTGTCTATGGGACTCAGGATTTTCCTGTATAAAATACGGATAAAAAGCAACATTGACCTGGGTTGAGGGGCACAGTGGGGGAGTGTTGCCCCGCAAACGAAAAGGTTGCAGTTTCAGTTCCTGGTGAGGCCACTTGCCTGGGGATTGTACTAGGTCCCTCTCTCCCTCCTTTACCCTGTCTCTAAAATAAGTGATAAGTTAAAATATTTCTTAAAAAGAGCAGCCTTCACCCCTGAAAGGACAAAATTCCTCTTTAAAAAAGATTTTATTTATTTATTTTTAGAGAGAGGGAGAGAAACATCAATGTATGGTTGCCTCTCACATGGCCCTCACTGGGGACCTGGCCTGCAACCCAGGAGTGTGCCCTGACTCGCAATGAAACCAGTGACCTGTGGTTCACAGCCCACACTCAATCCACTGATCTACACCAGCCAGGGCCAAAATCTCTATTTTAGGCTCTCTTTACCAGAGCTACCTACCTCTCTATTCCTTGACTTAGGCACAATTAATTGTTTTTCTGAGCATCTGTTGTCAGGACTAGAAAGATTACCAAACTCACTCTCTATTCAGGTGTTTTAGAAACATACAAAGAACACACACCAGATCCTCACATCGGGACCCTAAACCCAAAGATAGAACAAGTGTGCACCATCAGCCTGAAACCTGTTTAATAACTGATTGCTACAACTACCCTGCTGCGAAGACCCTGCTGTTTATCAGCCAATAAAAAGTAGCCCAACCTTTCACCTCCAGTGCTGCCTCTCATGTACTTAGGTCCCTATTCTCTCTTGTAAAGGGAGTAAAACTTTGCTCTCTGCATTTTCTTTTCTTTGTGGATTCTTTCACAGCCAGTGTCACCTGCCTTGCTAACAGTCCCAGCCTTGGTGCTTATTTAAAAAGTAGTGGCTACACCACCAGTTATCACTGGTGGCTGCTATCCATAAGCCAGTGACTCTTGGGACCCTCTGACCCAAGTGCTTGTGAAAATAAATGGAGCTTCTCAGATCCCTCATATCTGTTGCAGACTCCTCCCCTTGAGGAGGTAGCTTCAGGGCTCCTCAGTTTCGATATGAATCCCCCACTGGGGCATCTCAGGGTGACAATAAAACCCCAAAACTCACTTCACTGACTGATATTAAGTAAACAGAAGACACTAACTATGGCTGTTGTGAGGATCAATAGAAGTAACGGAACTCACTTAACACAGGTTTTAATATTCCAGGGTTTGCTTTTTTTTAAAGATTTTATTTTTTATTTATTTAGAGAGAGGGAAGGGAAGGAGGAAGAGATGGAGAGAAACATCAATGATTGGTTGCCCATCATGTGTCCCCAACTGGGGACCTGGCCCGCAACCTAGGCATGTGCCCTGACTGGGAACTGAACCGGCAACCTTTTGGTTCACAGGCCTGTACTCAATCCACTGGGCTACACTAGCCAGGACTCCAGGGTTTGCTTTTGATCATTTTTTTTTTTATTCTAACAGCACTCTGGGTATTAGTAATTTACTGGGGAAAATTAGTAATTTAGTGGGGAAAGTAGGATCAGGAATAGGAAGGGGTTTTTCCAAGATCACAGAGCAGATAGGTGCCAGATTGAAGAGCCTAAATTCAACTGAGTTTGGCTCCAGATCTGGAAACAGCCTGTATCATAGCATATTAGGCCTTCTGTCATTTCCATTGTCTCTCCAAGGAAAACTACTTCGAGACTTAGTTGCATTTTGTCTACCTCATTTCTGAGCTTAGTGCAGAGCTCAGCAATAATGAGACCCCAGTAATTCTAGGCAAGGTGTTTTTGCTATCTTGTATATGACAGGCTAGAATATTTATCCAGTGTGGTGAATATGGTGCCTCAGCTGGACCTGCAAGTGTTTTTGGTACATGTCATTGACATGCACTCTGCAGTATTGAGGACAGCTGGACATTATACCTAGGATACATTCAGAAGTGATGATGAAGACCTATTTTATTGTTAACACCTGAACATTATACCAGGGATACATTCAGAAGTGATGATGAAGGTCTATTTTATTGTTATCTCCTTGGTAAAGTGTTCACCTCTTCTTTGCACAGAAAACTCAGTGCCCACTTGATCTTGTACTCTGTCAGGACTGGCTGCAGGAGACATTGGTACTCACCATCTATCTCCTGTGGCCCTGACCATGTTCAGCAACCACATCATCCTTTCCAACCTCCTTGTGTCTGCACCAGAGATACTTGGGTAGGAACTAGCCCTTCTGAACATAAACGCTCATTCCATTGCCCAGCACGCTCTAGCCACAATGAAGATTCTTATTCCTGATTGCTCCAGACAGAGGCCAGTGGCCACATTGATTATGTGTATGTGTGCATGGCCCAATTAGCATTGTTACAGCTGATGGCTCTTTCAGAGAACAGGATGAGTCTGCAGCATCCTTGGTGATATTTGCAATCTGACCTTACAATATTCCTGAACAACACAATCCACTTAAATGCACAGGTGGCATTCATGGACACTCTCTGAAAATTGACCCCCTTCCTCTTGTTGTTTCCTCCTCAGTGCTCTCAGGAGAGTGTCTTCACTTAGTGCTGAAGCTCTAAAGCCCTTCTAAATTTTCCATTTTCCACATGAAACAGCCCTCAGCAGCCCTTGTAAGTTACTTAGGACTTGAGCATTATTTTGATGTCATTGCATTTTCATGGTAACCTATCACAAGTCCTAAGGCAAATTGATTTTCTTAGTTATTGGAGAGATACAAGTACACTTTTTAGGATGCAATGTATTCAAGAAAACTTATGTAGGTCATGTTGAGAATAATAACCATGGGCACAGCTATGTTCTCTTAAGCAGAGGTCAGGTATCAGGTCATTTGCAGGCACATTTCAGTCTCCTCCTATTGAACTCTAAGATCATCCCCAGCCCTGAGCTTTAAGTTTCCTTACATCGTTCGAAAGTTTCTTTACATTGTGCTTGTTTATATTGCTACTTGTACTTTACAACCTTTTATTAACATGCCTTTCAAGTATGTCTTGGCATCTCACTAAATGCTACAGAAAGTTAACTTTTATTTTTATTTTATTGATCTGTTACTATGGTTGTCCCAGTTATCCCCTGGTGCCCCCTCCACACAGTACACCATTCCCTCCAGCAATCCCCCCTCTTAGTTCATGTCCATGGACCATGCATATAAGTTTTTCAGCTTTTCATTTTCTATAATATTCTTAACATCCCACTATCTATTTTGTACCTATGAATTATGCTTTATAATCTCTGCATGTTTTCCTCCATCCCTCCCCTTCCTCCTCCCATCAGATACCCTCCAAATGATCTCCATACATATGATTCTGTTCCTGTTCTTATTGTTTGCTTAGTTTGTTTTGATGTGATGAATTGCATCGAAGAATTAGATCAAAGTACAGAGGGGTATTCCTGTTGATTAATGGAGTTATACAATGAGAATTACTTATATAGTTAGAAAATAAAAAGCTCTACTAAGCCCGAGAACAGGTAAGACACAATGGGTGGTAAATAAAGGACACTGACTCTAAGAATGAGAGGTTTAACCTGAGCAATTTCTCTCCTGGGAACTTGGCTACCATGAAATTGTTGTTTCTACAAAGTGTGAGTCTTTTTAACTGATGAGAACTTGGAAAAAATAGGTGACAAAGATAGCAAGCCATTACAGAAATATAAAGAAGAGTTGAAGAAGAGATATAGCATCATGTTTCATTTCTTCAATCATTTAGTAATTTTTATATTCATCTGATTCAGAAGCTCTGCTAGTTCTGTGTTATGTATCAATTAATAAATAAATATGTTTGCAACCTGGCTTCTTCAAAGCCTTAACTGAAAGCTAGCCAAGTAGTCAAGAAGAAATTATATTATTGTAAACGATAAGGTGATAAGTGCTGTTGAAACATGAAAAAAACAACACACCAAAAAGTATGTGCATCCTGAGTATTTTAAAAGCATTAAAAGAGGGGAGAAGGTTGTGATTAGATCAGGATGCTGTTCCATGGATAATAAAAATATAGTACAATTTTTCCATGTTTGCATCTTGGCTGGAGCATCAGATCATTTCTATGACCACTGTGCCCATGGCAGGGTGCTGAAAATACTGTGTTTTTTATTTTTTGAAAAGTGATTTTTAATATCTGGTAAGTTTTTAGATTTTTTCAACTCTCATGTTACTTAGTTTTAATGTTTTTCAAGGTTTGGTTTATATTTTAGTGTTATGTTTGCTCTAAATTTTTAAATAAGACAGGCTTGTTACAGTATTATTGATGTTTGAAATTGCACACACATATGCCCATATATTTTGTTAATCCCAACATTTTATGTGCTTTTTAATTTTCTGGGGTATACATAGGTTGAGTATGAATATGTACTTTATTTACTCTAAGTATAATTTCTAAATAGATTCATCTTATTCCATTGGGAATGTGAGAAACATGGCACCTCTGCTCTTAAATATGTCTGCACAGGGAAAAATCTCTTTCCTTATGATAATTACAATATCACTTTGAAGTTAAAATAATACAAATAACCTTGTCAGAATTCAATTCTCCCAGTTTTTCAAAACTTCTTTTAGTGGATGTTTCTAACTAAACAATTGACTTCAAGTTTATATTTTGTATCTTAGTTCTTTTTTATATCAAACGTTTGACTTACATTCCTGGGTTATCTCTGACATACATGTGATGTTAAGGTCATTTCTCTGATAAAATTTTCCAGGCCCTGTAATGCAGGAGCACCATATTTTTTGGGCTATGAGATGCACTTTTTTCCCCCCCAAATTTGGGAGGAATAATGGTTGTTAGTGCTGCTGTTGAGTTCTGTTTACATTTACATTGGTGAAATATTATGTTATTTATGTTATTAAATATTTTACATTTTTTGCTTCAAAAATTTTTTTCCTATTTTCCTCTAAAACCTAGGTGCGTCTTATGGTCCAAAAATACGGGTACCTCCTTTTTCTGTGACTGGCTGTGTGGAGTTGCAGAGGTAGTGCATGTTCATCATCGTGCACGTGAGACCCGTTACCAGAAACAGATGACATCATTTATCATATTCAGGACGCGTTGTCTCCCAGTAGGTTTCCCTCAGATCTGGGACTTTTCTCTTGAAATCAGGTAGGAAACCCCTTTTCATCTCCTTGTTTTCTAGGAACTGCAGTCCCCAGAAGGCTGTTCAGGGCTGAACCAATGAAGGCTCAGAAAAGGCTTTTCCGCTGGGGCCAAACGCATGTGGGCGGGACTTCCGTCGCCCTGCTGGCGGGCATTTTGCCTGCTCTCAGGCTCATCTCTCCGGTCAGAGGGAGGTGAGCGCTGGGCCTCGGTGGAGGTGCTCTTGAGAAGAGACCTGGTCGCTGCGTCACAAACGCAATTGGGAGGCTCCGTGAATCCGCTTGGGTGACCGGGGCCTCGTCCGCGATGGGTACCGCGGTGCTCGGCGCCCCCTCCTGGCCCCCGGCTCCCTCACAGCTCAGCACACAGATTGCCATGGCGGCGGCCGCGCTGAGGCGCCCGGCTGAGGTGAGTGCTCAGTCATCGGGCCCTCAACCCCTCATTCCACCGAGCCCTGGATCTCGAGTGCGGGGCGCCGGTGACGCCCTGCAGCCTACGCTCCTGTGTTCTGGACGTGTGGCGCTCGTGGGTGACACAGGGAGTGACGGCGTGGCAGAGGGTGATGGGCTGAGGGGCCACGGAGTAACGACGCGCAGTTGCTGCTGACCCTGAAGGACCTGCAAACTAATGTCGGCCTCACATCTCGTTCAAACAGTGTGAGGCGGAGTCGGGTCCTAACTGGGAGGCAGAGGGTTTGCACCTTCATTCTCAGAGTCCTGGGAGCCTGGAAACGTCGTGAACCGAGAGAGACACAGGCTGTGTAATTGTTTTCAAAGCTTTTAGGAGTCTGCTGAGATAGAAAACCGACTGGAGTCTGGTGATGAGAACAGAGAGGCACTGGTAGCGGAGCCCCTTGTTGAAGGCCGCACCGAGGAGACACTTGGCCTGAGGTCACCAGACCCCAGGGCTGGGCGGGGATACAGCTGAGACCGGCTTACCAATAGGTGAAGGTGATTGATTGCGTCTTCCCCACAGGTTCTGAAGCTGAAAGGCATTATCGAACTAGACAAGGAAGGAAAGGGTGTCCCAGTTCCTACCTGGTGGTGACATTCATTACCTTATAGTGTCTAAAGACTCTTTCCTTGGTAATTTCCCAGCTTTCAGATTTGGGCACCCTGCGGATACCCAGTCCTGAGTGCAGGTCACTGGTATATCAAGGTGCACCCATTTCTGGTGTCAATGTAAGAAACACTCCAATTTTTAGAGTTTAATTTTTTAATGTTTATTTTAGCCAAACTGGCGATGATTGCCAGGAAACCAAATCTCAAAAGAGTGAGAAAATGCTTCGGAATATGGCAGTTATATTTTATTTTTTAAAAGATTTTATCTATTTACTTTTAGAGGGGAAGGAAAGGAGAAAGAGGGAGAGAAACATCTATGTGTGGTTGCCTCTCTTGCGCCCCCTACTGGGGATCCGGCTGTCAACCCAGGCATGTGCCCTGACTGGGAATCCAGCTGGTGACCCTTTGATTCACAGGCGGGCGTTTGATCCACTGAGCTATACCAGCCAGGGCTGCAATATAGCAGTTTTAGTACTTATTTTATACAGCAGAATCGAAAGGGAAGACGCAAGTAGGGAACTTGAAATTAAATGGGTGATAGGTTAAGGAGGCAGGAGAAAACAAAGAAGGAAGCTCTTTGATATTAGATAAAAAGTAAGTGTTCTTTTACATTTTTGGATATAGTATAGTTAATATTAATTGATTAACAGTAGTAAGAACAATGAGGGTTTTTTTTTAGTCTATTGTCATGCAGATGTTGTGCCCTTAGGGGTAAGAAAAAAGGAAATTACACTGATGTTCCAAAGGTATGTTAACGTAGGTGCAAAAATAGAAAGATGGGCTCAGTTAAGGTAAAAATTGACCTTTCTCGGGGAAGATACAGGCCTACGAGAAAACTTGCCATTACCTGTTTTGAGTTAGAAAGTTTTAATTTCAGACCATCTACGGAGTATTTTCCACCTCTCAGTTTGTAAGGCCATCATGGTAGATTCCATAAAAACTGTCAGTTTTAGCATGTGGTTACCCCCTTTTTGGGGGATCCACAATGGCAGCCCATGAAAGCAGTTATTGAAAGCTATCCAGGGAGAATCACATCCATATGCAAATACTTGGAGGTGCCACAGAGCTAGGATAGGTATCTAAGGTCTCCTTTCTTTGTGTTAAAAACCAGGAACAGGGGGGTCAAGAATCACAGTTGTAAAGTGGCCAAATGGTCATTTTCATGAAGAGAATGGGGCATTTGCATAGGAAAAGGAGCTAGGCTCTCCTAGGTTTAACAGGCTACATCTGACTGCATAGTGGGAAATAACTATGGGAGTTAAAAAATGGTGTCAGGGAACCCAGAACCAGGAAGGTTCTAGGGTCCCAGGACAGACGAAGCAGCATTGGGCCTCAGAGTTTGAAGAAAAAGTTGGATTGTTGGTCCATTTTTTTTCTTTCTTTTTTTTTTCATTATTTATCCCCTTTATACCCTCTTCCACCTCTCCTCACTCCTCTCTCCCCTCTAAAAAAAAGAAGTACAAGTATAAAGTTTCAGATTTTGCAGCTACAGGAAAGAAAGAGTGTTCAAAACCACCCCAGCAATTTTGGTTCTAGCAGCTGAAGGTGAATTGGTGGAAAAGAAGAATGGGGCCCTGCAGGCACAGCCCTGAGTTTAGATGGGATTTATCTGCTCCACTTCCTCTCATTCTTCCTTCCTTTGCTGAAGGTGATGAGAGTGATTAATGAGATCATGATGAGACTGTAGGCATCCCTGGCACCAAGGGTTGATGTCTTTTCTGATTTTGGCCCTGCAGATGGTTGGTCATGGGGAAGTAGGATTCTGGGGTCTCAGACTTTTCCAGATTTATTTTTGTTAATTCTGACAGGTTGTTGTGACCTTTGAGGATGTTGCTGTGTATTTCTCCAGGACAGAATGGCACCTCCTTGATGAGGCTCAGAGATGCCTGTACATCAATGTGATGCTGGAGAACTATGCTCTTATATCTTCGCTAGGTAAGACACTGACTCTCCCTGTGTGCCCTTCTTTGGCACACCTGCGTCCCTGTTTCCTCAGGTTTGCCGTTTGCTTCTTCTATTCCAAGCTTTATAGGTCCCAACCAGACTTGTACCCAGGGGACAATGGACAGCAGTATCTAGTCTTGGGATTTTTACAGGATACACTTGATTCGTCTTTCCAATACAGTAAAGAGTTACAGATTAGCAGTCTACTAGCATTAAGCAGAGTTCATTAGTGATACATTCTCATGGAAGACAACAAGCCTTGCCAAGGTCTGGGCAAAAGGCATAAGTTATGGACATTGCAGGGTAAGGGCAGCAAAAAGCATCAGGTCCTTTGTCCTGAGAACTTACATAGTTGGTGGGATGGGGAGGTGGGAATTACATGTTGATTGACAGCCAAAGGTGGTTCCAGCTTCCCCTGGGGCAGAGGTTACTACCCAAAAGTAGGTATGTGCAGGCAGGTTATTAGCCCAAATTCTCATCTTGCTCCAGGCCACATTTGGTTATCCTGTTGTGTACAGATACATAACGGGAAGCAGATCTTTAAAGTTAAGGTAGTTACCCAAAGTTATTTATGGGATCTGTCTGTAAGCACTAGGGACCCCCTCATAAAACAGTAGTGACCAGAGACAGGCAATTAACTAGGTTTTTATGAACGTTCTTCTTTGGGCACTGTGGACCCATTCCTGCTTTTCTTCTAGGCCTTGGGATTAATATACAGTTTCAAAGCCTTTCTTTCCCAGATAGTGGAAACTATACATAAAATTTCAAAGGCTTTTCCCCCTCCTGTGTTAGCATAGTGTTTTGTGATGTTCAGAACGCCTGGCAATATAATTGGACCAGGCTCAGGGCTACTGAGGTAGTGGGTGAGACACTTCTCCCTCCTCCCTGCCTGAGTTTAATGTCTCTTCTACCTAACAGGCTCACCTATGATCATGTCTCCAAGGGTCCTTTTTTGTTTGTTTGTTTGTTTGTTTGTTTCATTGCCCCAAACTTTAATGAACTAACTCACATTTTCATTTAAAAAAAACCCTCACACTCTTCTGGTGACTATGACTAGGGCTTGCATTTTGCCCGTACTCTCTACAACTATATATATATTTTTTTAGCCTCACTGGAAAATATTTTCATTGCGCCTTGACTGGTGTGGCTCAGTGGATTGAGTGCCAGCCTACAAACCAAAGGGTTGTCAGTTCAATTCCCAGTCAGGGCACATACCTGGGTTGCAGTCTAGGTCCTCAGTGGGCAGGCAGCGTGTGAGAGGCAACCACACATTGATGTTTCTCTCTCCCTCTGTTTCCTCCTCCCTTCCCCTCTCTAAAAATAAATAAATCTTTTTTAAAAAACATACTTTCATTGATTGTTAGAGAAAGAAGAGAGGGATAAGGAGAAACATCAATGTGAGAGAGGCATTGAACTATAAACTTCTTTAAAAGGGGATCAAATCCTCAAACTATTTCTGAAAGAGGGCAATGCTCTAAGTAACTGAGGCACATGGCCACGGCTGGATAAACTACTATGCATGTATTAGTTCTGTTTTCTCAATAGTGTTCTCAAAACTTCAGTAATTCCTAAATTGTTTAAAACAGGATGATCCACCCATTGTTGGAAGGGGAATATTTAAGTCGTCTAGTACTGTTGCATTGCATTTTCTGCCTTAAGATCTCATGTTGTTTCGTTAATGTACTTAGGGGCTCTGTGGTTGGGTGCATAGTAATTAAAATTGTTATCCTCCTGATCTCTTTGGTGTTATTTGCATGGAATATTTTTTACACTTCTTTATTTTCAGCATATTTGTGTCTGTAAAGATTTCACGAGTCTCTTGGAAGCAGCATACATTGTGTCTTGCGGAGATTTTTTTTTTTGTGGGAAGACAAGTTTCGCCTTTCTTTAAAATATTTTATTTTTAAATACAATTGACATACATTATTACTTTCATGATTAGACATTATATAGCTTACTAAGTGTGATCATCTTGATAAATCTCATATGCACCCGACACCATACATAATTAGTAGACTGTTACTGACTATATTCGGTGTTTGGATGGTCTGTGCTGCTAGCTGTGAAAGAATTCACAAAGAGAAGAAAGTATAGGTAGTAATGTTTTTATTCCCTCTGCAAAAAAGGAGAGGGGCATGGTGTGGAGAGAAGCACCAGTATTGAGGGGTGGAGGCTTTGAGCTTTAATTGGATTATAACTGGATCAAAACAGGATGGGAAGGTTGCTGTTTCCTGGCCCTTGGGCTGTTGGGGCTGCAGTTTGTTGCAATGTTATCTTCTGCCTTTGGCTGTAGGAAGCAGTTGCTCGGGTTATTCTTGCTTTCCAGTAATTTCCAGTCCTGGGGACTTAAGCTCAGAAGAGTAAAATGGCATTCATGTTTAACAAGGTCATGGGCCTGCTCAGCAAATGGTGCTACAATAGCAAATGGCACTGACTTTATCCATTCAAACATTTTATTTTTATCCTATACAATAGAGTTAAATAAAGTACACTTCAGCCCGTAACTGTTTCAGTGTTGGGAACCTGGTGACATCCAGCCTTACCAGAGTTTTACACTTTATTACATTTCCTATTTGTATATAATATGCCTTTATTTCAGCTGAAAGACCTTATTTCTGAGGAATAGTTTTTCTGATTTGCAGATGTTTTCCTTTCATGCTTTGAATATATCAATTGATATTCTCCAAACCTGCCAGGTATCTTCAGAGAAATCTGTTGATAGCCTCACGGGAGTGTTGTCCTTACATGAGGAGTTTTTGTCATCTTTGGTTGTTCAGACTTTTTCTTGCTCTTGATTTTTGACACTTTTATTATAATGTTATCTTGCTGAAGTTCTTTTTGCATTAAATCTGTACTGGGACCTGGGAGGGTTTTGAACATGGCTATTCACTTTTTTTTTTTTTTCATATTTTGAAGTCAATCTTCAGCTCATTTTTTAAAATAAATTTTTATGCTTCTTCTCTTCCTGTTTATTTCTCATTTTCAGTTCTTTTCACCTCCTCTGGTACACCCACAATGCAATATAGGTTATCTCTATGATGTTCCGATATTCACACAGGCTGTCCTCATTTTTTTTTTTTTTTCCCCCACATGGATGATTTTAAATAACCTGCCTCTGGGGTGACATATTCATTTTACTGTGTGATCTTGTTTGGTCTTGAAACTCTTTTGCATTTTTAATTTTATACATTGTATTCTTCAACTCCCAAATATCTATTGCATTCTTTTTTTATGATTTCTCTCTCTCTGGTCCTGTGTTTTGTTCCTGTATTTGCTTGTTCATTATGTTGAATTCCATGTGTATTTGCTTGTATCTCATTGATGTTTTTGAGAATGATTATTTGAATTATTTTTCTGGCAATTTATATACTTCCTCTTTTTTTGTTTAATTCACTTTAAAATTGTGATGTTCCTTTGTGATTTTTTTTTTTTTCATATTTCCCTTTTTCTTAGTGTTGATGTCTGATATTTGATGAAGCAGTTACTTTTTGGGACTTCATGAACCAATTCTGTTTAGAGAAGTAGTTTTATCTGCATATGCATACAAGGGTGCTTGCTAGGTGGTATGCTGTGTTTTGCGTTGAGGAGAAGCTTCACTTCCCATCATTCTTGCTGCCCCATGACCAAGGTTAGCGTTGTGAAGATTGAAGGGATCCTCAGTGGCCAGGGCTGTGGTGTTCCAAATATTTAGTGATCTTTTTTGGAGTCTTTGGAGGCATAAAACAGGCCACTAGAGTCAATGGTAACACAAGCGCAGTGCCTCCAAAAAGTTCTTACCCTAGTGTTTTGAATCTAACCCTGTTTGCTAAGCTATTTTTCTTGCTATTGTTTTTCTGTTTTAAGATTTATTTATTTTTAGAGAGAGCGAAAGAGAAGAAAGAGAGGGAGTGAAAATGACAGAGCTAGAGGTCCATCAATCAGATGCCTCTTGCACACTCCCATCTGAGGACATGGCCTGCATAACAGCCATGTGCTCTGACTGGGAATCGAACCTGTAGTCTTTCAGTTTATAGGCTGGCACTCCATCCACTGAGCCATACAAGCCAGGGCTTTCCTGGAATTCTTCTGCCTAGCTCTTTGTGTTCTCCACTTTGTAGCTCTTTGGTATAACTGGTCTCTTTAGCTTCTCCTTTCCTGAAGGGATGTGGTTTTATATGGATGATTGTCTAATTATTCTTGAAGGGGATTAAATATTTGTATTTTTTATTCTGCCCTCTTGGTATCATCACACACAAAGCTCTTTTTTTTTTCTTACTTGCCTTTTTTTTTTTTGTGCAGAGTTCTATGACAGTATTGGTTATTATCTCTTCTCTTTCTCTTTAGAGTTGCATCATCAGTATTCCACATAATTGATTAATGGAGAGTCAAGTGGAAGAATCCTTGGTGTAACACAAGAGAGACAGGAATCCACCTATGACAAAATGGGCTCAGAGGTGGTCTGGAGTTGGTGAACGGCAGTTGGGGAGAATTTGATTCCAGGGCTTTGTTAAAACATAGTGAGGAAGTTGTTCTCTTTAACTGTATTTTGTCACCATTACCGGTGGCTACACTTTAATACACTTATCCTTTCCCAGTATTGACATATTGTCCTTTATTACTTTAATAGTTTTAATTTCTACCCTGGCTTCCAGCCATGGAAACTCTCTGCCTCTCTAACCTCTACACCACCACTATTTCCCAGAGGGGTCTTTTTGATGTACTCTCCACCTTTGATCAATGCCTTTTGCACCTTGCAGTGTGCACATATTTTTCTATAAACCTGATCTGATCTGATCTTCTGATCTTCTGATCTTCTGTGGTTGATTTTCATGAAGTTGCACGCATTCATATTCCTCTACACAGCAGGCAGCCACTAACAGAGGAACATCTTGTAAACCCAGCCTGTCTTCATTGTGTTCCTTCTAATCCTAGTGCCCTTTGTTTAATGAGTTCCCATTATTTACTGAATTGAGGGGCTTTTTTCAGTGTCTGTCCCACTTGTCTTGGAAATCATCACATAGAATCATGCCAGGGGTTACAGATGCATATTTGTGATGAGAAAACCCACTTCCTAAGGTCAGTATGAACTTCAGTAATGTTTCTTTTTGTTCAGGTTGCTGCTGTGGAACAGAGGAGGTGGAGGCAGCCATTCAAGAGAATATATCTGCAGGAGACTCAAAGGCTAAGAATATTAAATCAGCACTGTCTTCCCAGAAAAGCCACCCCTGTGAGAGTTGTGGGTTCATCTTGAAAGACATTTTCCTCTTGGCTGACCAGCAGGGAACACAACAGAACCCAACACTGCTGAGGTGTGGGGCATGTGCAAAACCATACTATTTCAGTGCACAGAGTTACCAGCACCAGGAGGAACAGATAACAAAGAATCATTTCATAAGCAGTGTGGAGAGGATCTCACTTGCAAAGAGCTGCAATTTCCATGTGTCTTGGAATCCTTGTGCCTCTAGTCAGGTTGAAAAGCATTTCCTCATTAACTCAGGGCATCTTGAGCAACTGGCTGCTCACACCATGCCCAGGGAAAATGACATCTCTAAGTCTGTAGTGACTTTTCAAACTACAAAATATGACAATGGAAAAGAATACAAGAAAGCCATTGGGTGTGACAGCATACTTGTTGAGGACCAAAGATTCCTTACAGAAAGACAGTGTGTTTTATGTTGTGAATGTGGGAAATCCTTTACCACTAGCTCTTCCCTCCGTGTTCATCAGAGAATTCATACTGGAGAAAGGCCTTATGAGTGCAGTGAATGTGGAAAATCTTTTAACTTTAGTTCTGCCCTACGGTATCATCAGAGAGTTCACACTGGAGAAAGGCCTTATGAGTGTGGTGAATGTGGGAAATCTTTTACTGGTAGCTCTGGCCTTCGTAATCATCAGAGTGTTCATACTGGAGAAAGGCCTTATGATTGCAGTGAATGTGGGAAATCTTTTGCCGGAAGCTCTGGCCTGCGATATCATCAGAGAATTCATGCTGGGGAAAGGCCTTATGAGTGCAATGAATGTGGGAAGTCTTTTACTGGTAGCTCTGGACTCCGTAATCATCAGAGTGTTCATAATGGAGAAAAACCTTATAAATGCAGTAAATGTAAAAAATCATTTACCAGGAGCTCTACCCTCCGTCATCATCAGAATGTTCACAATGGAGAAAGGCCTTATCAGTGTAGTGAATGTGGAAAATCTTTTACCTATAGCTTTTCACTCCAGTATCATCAGAGAGTTCACACTGGAGAAGGGCCTGATGAGTCCAGTGAAGGTGGAAAATCTTTCACCAGTAGCTCTGAACTTTGTAAACATCACAGAGGTCACACTGGAGAAAGGCCTTATGAGTGCAGTGAATGTGGAAAATCTTTTACCATTAGCTCGTCTCTCCGTTATCATTACAGAGTTCACACTGGAGAAAGGCCTTATAAGTGTGGTGAATGTGGGAAATCTTTTACCAGTAGCTCTGCTCTCCGTAATCATCAAAGTGTCCACACTGGAGAAAGACCTTATGAGTGCAGTATATGTGAAAAATCTTTTACCAGGAGCTTTTCCCTTCGTCATCATCAGAAAATTCACACTGGAGAAAGGCCTTATGAGTGCAGTGAATGTGGAAAATGTTTTGCCATTAGCTCATCCCTCCGTTATCATCACAGAGTTCACACTGGAGAAAGGCCTTATAAGTGTGGTGAATGTGGGAAGTCTTTTCCCTGCAAATCTGGCCTCATTCGTCATCAGAGAGTTCACACCGGAGAAAGGCCTTATGAGTGTGGTGAATGTGGGAAATGTTTTAAGAAAAAAGATTACTTTAATTCTCATCTGATTTCACACTGGAGAAAAGCATTATGAGTGGTGAATGTAGGAAATTTTTTACCCATAGGGGTTGCCTTCTGTTGTCACCAGAAAGTTCACACTGGATTAAGGCCTTTTGTGTGCAGTGAATGTGGAAAATCTTTTACCAATAAATCTGCCCTCCATTATCATCACAAAGTTCACACTAGAGAATTGCCTTGTAAGTGTGGTAAATCTGGAAAATATTTTACCAGTTGCTGTGAACTTTGTAAACATCACAGAGTTCACACTGGAGAAAGTTTGTATCAGTTCAGTGAATGTGAGTGATCTTATACCAGTAGCTCTGCCTACTGTAAACAAAATTCACACTTAAAAAAGACCTTCAGAGTGCACTGAATGTGGGAAGTCCTTTACTTGTGGCAGTCACTTCCATTATCATCAGAATTCACACCAAAGAAATGCCTATGAGGGCAGTAAATGCAGAAAATCTTATCTGTAGCATTAACCTTCATTGTAATCAGACTACACACCGGAGTGAAGTTTTATGGCTGCATGGAATGTGGGAGATTTTATTTTATCAGTAACCTTCCTTATCCTTAGAGATTTCACATATGAGAAAGACCTTATGAGTGCAGTGAACTTGGAAAATTCTTCTTCTGTAGGAGTCCCCTCTTATCATCAGAGAGTTCACCCTGGAGAATGGTCTTATGCCTACAGTGAATGTGTGTAATGTTATTCTTGTATCAGTGATTTCCATTAGTACAATAAGAGTTTAGGGTGCATTTAAGTGATGTAAATATGAGAAATCTTTTAACTGTAGCCATTCCCTTCATTGTCATTAGAGAATTCACAATATCTTAGTTCTTAGAACTAAAGAAAATCGGGAAACCTTTCATTTTTATCCATTTTCTTTGTTATCTTCTAAGAAGTCACACAGGAGAAATGTTTTTTTATACATGCAATATGAGATTTTGGGGGGGTGGGTAGCACTAGCCTCCATTATATTGAGACATTTTAATCTGGTGAAAGGTGTTGAGTATGGGGAATGCGGAATATTCTTTTCGATCCTTTCTCATCATTAGAGAGTTTACACAGGAGATAGGTCTTACAGGTACATCAAATGTGGGACACATTTTGACTCATAGACACCTTAATCATAGTTCACACTGGTTGATGGCTTCAGGTATGAAGTGAACATGGGAAATCTTTAGGCATAAGTCTGTATACATACCCTTTTGATGTAGGAGAGGTCTCACTGCATAAATGCTTAACTTTTAGGAAAAAAATTTTTTCAGTGTGACTGAAATGACACCGAAGAAAACTTTGTAAGAAAACTTCTGAGGTTAAATTTATATGCTCACAGTGTGGACGTGTCTCAGAAGTTTAATGTTTATATTTTGAAGTACCTAGCAAAGTACTATCTAAACTAGGTGTGTCATACAGTGTATGAGGGTTGCATTTCCCCACTCTAACAAAATCTTGATTTGTTTAATTTTTATAATTTTTGCTCTTTTCATATGTTCATTATGCTCTCTCTGTTGTGTTAGTTGCATTTCCCTAAGGATTTATGATGAGCATTTTCGCAGGAGTGTATATATTAGTGATGTTTTTTTAGTAAAAGATGTACTTACATAATCTACCTATTTTATTAAATTGGGTTACTCACCTTGAACAAATAGAATGAAACAACAAAGATCTGTGTTTTAAAGTCACCCATTTTGACTCCTTAAGTAAATAATTCTTGTTTTATAGAGTAACTTTTTTGTATAATTGTTTTTAATAGTGGAAGGCATACAAATTACTTGGATTTTTTGTTTTCTTTTTTTGCTGTACACTATGTAGTATGTACATAATATATACTTTAAGGAATGAGTTGCATTATTAACACTTCATTGTTTTGTAAATTCAAACATTTAGTAATATAATATAATATAATAAAGCCTTGCTTTTTAGTTTTAAGCTGTTTCTATGGACTGCCATCTGGGTTTTGTTGGGTTGCTGCCAGCATGAAGGTACACCAGGTGGTATGAAGATGAACAGGTATTTGTTGAGACTCAGCCCTCCTAGAAGCCAAAGGCAAGAGAATAGTGATTGGACTCCCAGTACCTTGGCCATGCAACCTGGGTTTAAATATTAGATTATTGACCATTGTTATGATTGCAGGAACTTGATGCATTCTTGTAGGCCTCAGGATTAGCTGTGTAAAATAGGGCTAAACAGCAACCTTGCCCTGGGTTGAGTGCCACAGTGGGTTCAGTATTCTGCAAACAAAATGGTTGCAGGTTCAATTCCAGGTTGGGACATGCCTGGGTTTTGGACCAGGTCCCTAGTAAGGAAAATGCAAGAAACACAAAATTAATGTTTTGTGCACTTCAATATTCCTCTCCCTCACCCTAGCTCTGAAAATAAGTGAATGTAAGTTAAAATATTTTTCAAAAAGAACAGCCCTCTTCCCTGAAAGGACAAAACCCACCTTTTAGGCGCTCTAAACCAGAGCCACATATCCATCCCTTGACCTTGTCAGGCAGAATTAACTTGTTTGAGCCTCTGTTGTCAGGACTGGAGAGGTTACAGAACTCGTCCCCCATTCAGATATTTTAGAAACTTACCAAAAAAGCACATACCAAATCCCAACACCTGGACCCTAACCCAAAATATAACAGCAAACTGAAGCCTGTACAATCTGTTGGAAACCTGTTTTATAAGTAAGTACCACAACTACCCAGCTGCAAAGCTGCCCTTTATCACCTGATAAGAACTCAAAGCCCCAGCCGTTCACCACCAGCGCTACCACTCATGCACTTAGGCCCCTTTCCTCTCTTGGAGAGTGAGTAAAACTTTGCTTTCTGCTTTTGTTCTCTGAATTATTTCACAGCTCCTGTTACTGGCCACACAAACCCAATTTTGGTACTTACTTCAAAAGTAGTGGCTATACCACTAAGTTATCACACTGGTGGATGCTATCCACAAGCCAGTGACTCCTGGGACCTCACCCAAGTACTTGTGAAAATAAATGGAGCTTCTTAGATCTCTCATCTGCTGCAGTCCACACAGTCTCTTCCCCATGGAGGAGGTGGCTCCTTGATCTCAATGTGGATCCCTGCTGTTGCATCTAAGTGACAAACTCCCCAAAGCTCACTTCACTGACAGGAAATTAAGGCACTGACTGGCTCTTGTAAGAATCAATGGAGGTAATGAAAGTCACTGAACACTTAACAGGCATTCGTATTTCAGGGTTTGCTTTTTGATCATTACAGTTTTTTAAAATTCTAACAATACCCTAGGATTAGTAGATGTTACTGTATTTCTGGGGGAATTATAGTTGGGAAGAGGAAGGGGTTTTTACAGGGTCACATAGCAAAGGGAGGTCAGATTGAAGAGCCTAGGTTCAATCTTGTGAGTCTAGCTCTAGAGCTGGGGACAATCTCTACCATAGCGTATTAGGCCCCCCAGAAGAAGGTAGGAGGACAGCAAAGACCAGGCAAGTAAAACTCATCTAGCTGCTGTTTTCATTGTTGCAATTGTCAAAAAATCTCTGCATTTGTCTTATGTCTTAAAAGTGTGTTTAATATCTTCCTCAGTCTTCATAGGAGCCCTATCTGTCATTTCCAGTGGTCTGCAGGGGGAACTACTTTGAGCCTTAGCTGCATTTGTCTACCTCTTTTTTGAGCTTATTACAGAGTTCAGCACTAATGAGATCTGGTGAATCAGAGCTGGGTCTTTCTGCACACTTGTTTTGTGAATGATAGGTTAGGATACTATCCACTATGGTGAATGTGGTGCTTCAGTTTTACACTACAAGTGTTTTTACTACATGTCTCTGATCCACTCTGCAATATTGAGGACAGCTGAACATGTTACCTGGGATATATTCACAAGTCATGGTGGAGACCTGAAGTATAGTATCTCCTTGATGGAGTGTTCACATCTTCTTACAGGAAACTCAATGCCCACTTGATACTGTACACTGTCAAGTACTGGCTGGGGGGAAACAATGGTGTTCATCTATTCCCTGCAGGCCTGACCATGTTTGACAACCACATCCTGCTTTTTAGCTTCCCAGTGTCTACACCAGTGATACTTGGGCCGGGATAAGTTGTTCTGAACATAAATTCTCATTCCATTGCCCAGTACATGCTGGCCATAATTAAGATTCTCACTCCTAATTGTTCCAGGGAGGGGCCAATTGGCCAAATCAGGTTGGGTCTGTGTCTGCATGTCCCATTTGCATTGTTACAGCTGGAGGGAGGGTGACTCTAAAGCATCCTTGGTGATATTTGCAGACTGCTCTTATATATTCCAAAATAACACAATCCATTTAAAGTCATCAAGTGGCATGCATGGGCACCCTGAAAATCTATTCTTTCCCTTTGCCATTTCCTCCTCACTACTGTCAGTACAATGCCTTGGATTAGTGCTGAATCTTTAAAGCCCTTCTAAATCTTAACTGATTTTCCATTTTCAACAGATGGAGCACCCCTGAATACCACTCGTTAGTTACTTGGGATTTAAGCATTAATTTGATGTCATTTCGTCATCAAGGTAACCTATCAGTAGTCATAAGTCAAATTTATCTTCCCAGTTATTGGAAAGATACAAGTATATTTTTTAGGATGCAGTGTATATAAGGAAAACTAGGTCATGTTAAAGGGAACAGTAACCATGGGCACAGCTATGTTCCCCTAAGCAGAGATCAGGTATCAGGTGATCTGCAGGCACAGTTCAGTCTCCTACTGAACTCTAAGATCATCCGCAGCCCTTAGCTTTAAGTTCCTTTACATGCACATTGTTTATATTGCTACTCGTATTTTACAAACTTTTTTTTTTTAGAGAAAGGGGATGTGAGGGAGAAAGAGAGAAATAGCAATATGTGGTTGCCTCTCATCCTCCCTGCCCCCGCAGCTGGGGACCTAGCCTGCAACTCAGGCATGTGCCCTGACTGGGAATTGAACTGGTGACCCTTTGGTTTGCAGGCCAGCACTCAACCTACTGAGCCACACCATCCAGGGCTACAAGCTTTTATTGACATATTTTTCAAGTGTGTCTTGGTGTCTCACTAAATCTTACAGAAAGTTTTTATACTAACATTCATACACATTTTTAAAACAGTGCCATAGAATTCTTTTGCAAATCATGCTTTGAAAAGGTCAACAATACATAACAATTGCTTAACAGACTAATATTAACTGAAAAAATTAATAACACTTTTTATTGGGGATCATATTACAATGAACATGGAGGGGTTCAGTGTATTTGCTCATCAATGAGAACAACAATACTCTACAGAGTTTGTAGTGGAATCCTGGATGGGGCATCCTAGGCAACTCTAAAGCAAGTAGATGATTTGGCACCATGGCTCCCAGGCCCTAAGAATACAAGGGGGACCCAAAACACTTGAATTATCTTCTGGAGTGTGGGTCCCTTGTAGTATAGGCTTCCCCAGCTAGGAAGTGTTCTAGGAACTGACCTTAATTAATGTACAAGCTGGCATTTGGAGAGGCTGCATTCACATTTAGTGAATTTTTTTGAAGACTCTTATGTTTTCCCATTTTATGATGGGTGATTTATGAGTGTACCTGCCCACAATGTGCTGAGTGTTCAGCAGTTTTTGACTAAAATTGGCAAGACCCTGTGCCCCACTTTCCCTATTCACCCCATCTTGCCCGGAGCATCTTTTTGCCTTCATAGATGAACAAACTCAAAGAGAAACATTTTGCCTTGGTGGAAGAGGTGAAATGAAAATGGCCGAAATACTAAAAGTCATCAAAATTGATTAGCTCAAAAACAGCAGTGGAAAAAAGAACTCTATAGGTGTATTACATCAAATGGAGAATACTTTGAAGATGACTGACTTTCCAACATGTAAGACTACACAATTTTTAATAAATTCCAGTGGGTTTTTCTGGGTCCCCTCTCATATCCCTCTGCATCTTTCACTGTTTTTTTAAAGAGGATTTAAAAGAATTTTAGATTTCATTTATTTTTTAGAGAGGGGAAAGGAAGGACAAAGAGGGGGAGAGAAATATTGATGTACCAGAGAAGGAACATCATGCCTCTGGCACACCCCCAGTGGGGAACCTGACCAACCCAGGCATGTTCCCTGAACGGGAATCCAACCAGTGACCTTTAGGTTTGCAGGCTGGTGTTCAGTCCACTGGGCCACACCAGCCAGCATTCAAGAGGATATTAATTTTTTTTTTAATGTTCCTACTCTCCTGAATGTGGTCTCTCTCTCTTTTTTTTTAAGATTTTATTTATTTATTTTTAGAGAGAAGGAAGGGAGGGAGAAAAGGAGAGAAACACTCATGTATGGTTGCCTCTCACGTGGCCCCCACTAGGGACCTGGCGCACAACCCAGGCATGTGCCCTGAGTGGGAACTGAACCGGCGACCCCTTGGTTTCAAGCCTGTGCTCAGTCCACTGAGCTATATCTCCCACCCAGGGAGATATTAATAATTTATTGATTACACATGATAATAGGTGCTACACCAACTTCATCCCCATTAATTTGTCTTTTACTATAATGAATTTAGATGTATTGCATAAGATATGTAAACTATCATTAATAATCAAATTAATTCCATTACTCTGCTGTGGTGAACCTTTTAAAGGTGAACTCAAGGTCACCACACAGTAACTATCAAATGAACTACACAAAGTTTTTAAAGATGATGGCTTGTGTGCTTAAGCAGGTTGTAAATGTATTTTAAATGGAACCTGGTATCACCCTGAAGGAATTCTATGTAACTTTACACTGTTGGGATTATTTAACATGTCTTCAGAGTAGAATAACTTTACACAGCACATTTAAAACACACACACACAGAGCTCTGACCACTGTGGCAATGTTGGGTGGGCATCAATCTGCTAAGCAAAATGTTCCAAGTTTGATTCTCTGTTGAGGGCACTTGCCAAGGTTTCAGATTCCATTTCTGGTCAAGGAGTGTCTGAGAGGCAATCAATTGATATTTCTCTATGGAGGTATAGAATAAGCATTATTTAAATAGCTATAAGAGAAAATACTCTATGAAGCTTGAGAACAGGTAAATCTCAAAGGGTGGTAAATAAAATCACTGAGTTCTACCCTGGGTGGTGTAGCTCAGCGATGGAGCCCAGGCCTGTGAACCAAAGAATTCAATTCCCAGTCAAAGCACAGGCCTGTGTTATGGGCCAGGTCCTCAGTAGGGGGTGCACGAGAGGCAACCACACATTGATGTTTCCCCCTCTTTCTCTTTCCTTTCCTCTCTCTCTAAAAATAAATAAATTCTTTTTAAAAACCTGAGTTCTGAGAAAAGAGAGAATTAACTTGAGCAGACACTTGGCTACAATGCAATCCTGCTTTCTCCAAAGTGTGGGTCTATTTCATTCATGAGAACTTAAGCAAAATTAGTGAACTGAGAAATCTAGAAGCCTTGAAGAAAAGCCATGATATGATGTTTCATCTCTTCAACAATCATTTACTAGTTATTTAGGTCTAGAGGATATTTAGGTCTAAGGGAAGGTGTGTTTGATGTAGTTTGACTCCATAGCCAGGGTGCAGTGCAAATTGAAATTACCTTCATCCTGAAGTGCTCATTGGCTCTCTCACTCACCGTCAGGAGGTCAAAGTCAAAGTTATGCATCTTGTCAAAGAAGAGCTTGGATTTGCACTCTCTGCATGACATTGTCCTGGGAATTACAGAGAGTGGATAGAACTCATTTCTGTGACCAGACTGGCATCAATGAGCAGTATATTCCCCTAGGTATTTGCCAGCTTTTAGATGACAAGATTGTCTGTGGTTGTGAGTGTTTGGAAGATGCTCTCTTTGCTCCACAGGGACTTGTTGTATTTTTGTGGGGATGCTGTCAAAGTCCTTATGATTGTACTCTAGGGCTACACATCACTTGATGTCCTGCGGCTCTTACACTTACAAGTTGAGAATATTCATTAACTAAGTAACACTCGTTTCTGTGTCTCCTCCCAGTTTCCATGAACTTCAGAGTCTTGTGGATTTTGCTAAATTCGGTCCCAATGTGCCTCCAAATTGTCTCTGGAATTTATTCCACATGCATGTGCATTCACTCTCTCTGTACTTGGGGCTCTGAGGCAGCATCTGCAGATTCAGCTGTGTTCTATTCCTTGGACATTTGTCCCGGGTGAGATTCTGTTGTGAAAATGTCATCTGATTTGCTGGTAGGCGGTCTCCTGAATGCATACCGTGTCTACCAGCTGGAAAGTTTCATTCTCCTTGTGAAATAAGCATACTTCTTTTCAACACCATTTTGAGAGGGGTTGTAACATGTGTCCCTTGTATTTTGGTATGTGGCACGTGTTAAGTCTGCAAACTTTGTTGGCTGGGATCTTCTTTGCTGAATGGCTGGTAGGGCATATCCCAAAAGTGCTCAGGAATCCCCCAGGGAACCCACGCAGCCTGAAGGGTGGTCTTGGATCAAGGGTATCACAAACTTTGCAATCTCTGCAACCTGCAAACTCCTCAGCTGGTCCAGATGGTGAAAGATGAGTTGAGACTCAACATCTATTGCAATCTGAGAGACAGAAAAAAAAAGCCCTTTAAATATTTAAATAGGAAAAACCTTCAGAAAAATTACTATTGATTTTTAACTTATATTTCATGTATGCATACACATCATTTTGTTTTAAATTTATGTATTGATTTTACAGAGGAAGTGAGAGAGGGAAACATAGATTTGTTGTTTCATTTATTTTATTAATATTTAAATTATAAAGAATTAGATTTTCATTTATGTTTATATTATGCATCATTTTTATTTTTGAAGGTTTGTCGTATATTCTTGTGGTATATTTGTCCTATGTATGATGGGGTAACTAGGTTATTAGTGTATATCACAGATTTTCTAATGGGGGCATACTCCCCTCTATTGTAGTGTGCTTTATTGAGCTTCAGAAAATATGTATTTATGACCCTCTACCTACAAATAGATAGCATGCAATTCAACGAAGGCTCAGATAATGGTTTATATTTTTAATCAATGAAGTGTTTTAAAATTATGGTTTTACATTATTTTCGACCTAGTATAATTGCATATTTAATAGACTACAATGTTCACTTAAGAACAAATAGATTAGTGTGACTAGCTTTATTATCGTATTTAGTTTGTGGTCTGGAACTTTATATGCACTTTCTGGGCTGAATTCCTGTACTTGCATGTCTTTGATGTCTTCAACATGTACTACATTGTTTGCAAAAAAAAAATGTATAATTTAAGTCAGAGGCATCAGATCAAATCAGTTAGGACTCTATTAATGCTGTTCAGGCAGAGCTAAGACTTCTGGCTACATCAGGCACAGATGCACTTAAGTACTGGTGTATTATTTATTGCATTTAATTTGGACTGTGGGTCCAACTGATGCGTGACAGGTAGCATTAAAGACTGGAGCAACCTTCCCAACCACATTCGGCATGAAGAAGGCACATGCCCCATGGCCTGAATCAAAAGGCCTGGCGTAGCAGAGACTTCCTCGCCCAAGAAATGACATCCAATAGAGAGCGATAGAACGCACTGAGTATTCTCAGGGTATTCTTAGGGTATAAAGTTGCAAATCCACTCCTGGAGTCAGCTCAGGAAATACAGGATCTTAGCCTTGGAGTGTAAACCTACATTACCCAGAGGCAGGCGTGGAATATCACTAGGCTGAGTCAATAAAGACTCAGAAAAAGCATTTCCGTTAAGGCCATTCTGCAGGGCGGGACTTCCGTGGGTCTCCTGGGGGCATTTCCTCTTCTCTCAGTTTCCCTATTACCTGGTCAGGGTCTCGTGGTCACAGTATGGGAAGGACAAGGCGCTAGGAAGCTGCTCCCCATAGGAACTGTGAGGCCAAGCACGCTGCCCGGGTGTCTGACGTCAGGGTTGGGACAGTAACCCCAGTACCAGGGACACCCTCCTGGCCCGCAGGGCCGCTCCTCTCCGGCCACAGAGTCCGATGGCGGCGGTGACCGCGCTAAGGCGACGGGCTGAGGTGAGTGCACGTCCCCGGGCCCTGCGCCCTCAGCCCACCGAGCCTAGCAGCCCGGGTGCGGGACGCCTGTCACGTCCTGCAGCCCGGACCCCTGCGTCTGGGACCATGAGGCGCTAGTAGGTGACCCACGGTGTGACGAGGTGGGCGAGGGTGACCAGCCGAGGTGCAGCCTTCTAAGCACGTGCAGATATCATTGACCGGGAAAGACAGCGAACTGGGATCGGCCTTACCTCTGGTTTCAACAGTCTGAGGCGGAGTCACGTCCTGACTGGGAGGCAGAGGGGTTGCACATTCATTCTAATGGTTCTGGGAGCTGGAGAAGGTCTTGAACCGAGAGAGAGACAGACAGGCTGTGTCACGGTTTTGAAAGCCTTTTAGATCCTTCTGAGATAGAAAACCCAGTGGAGTGTGGTGATGACAGGCACAAGAAGAGGAGCCATTGTTGAAGGTCACAGGGCTGGTAAGCGGCCGCATTGAGGAAACACTTGCTGAAGGTCACAGTACTCCAGGGATGGTTCTAGGTACAGCTGAGACCTGCTTACCTGGAGCTTAACGGTGGTTGACTGAGACTTCCCCCATAGGTTCTGAAGTTGAAAACTATTTTGTAAACTAGACAAAGAAGGACAGGGTGTCTCAGTCCCTGCCTGGTGGTGACATTATCTTATAGTGTCAAAAGACTCTTCCCTTGCTAATGTCCTAGCTCTTGGATGTGGGGACCCTGGGGATACCCCAATCCTGAGTGCAGGTCACAGGTAATATCAAGATGCTCCCATTTTCCATTTCTGTTGTCAAGGTAAGAAACATTCAAACTATAGAGAGGTTTTTTTTATACTAATTTGAGTCAAATTGAGAAGTAAAGTTAAGACAAAATCTCAAGGGAGTGTGAAAACTTCAGAAAATGGCAGTTTTACTATTTACTTCATACATCAGAATCAGGAAGTAAAGTAGAAATGGAAACTTGAAACCCATTGGTGATAGGTTAGGGAGGTGGGAGAAAACAAAGCAGGAAAATCACTGTTTTTAGATAAAAAGTAAAAATGAATGGAAACATGATTCTCTTACATTGGTGGGTATAAGGTAGTTAATATTTAGTTAATTAACACAAAAATAATAACACTGCAGTGTTTTTTGTCTTTGTTCTGGTGCAGTGTTTGTGCCCTGAGTGGTAAGTAAAAAGGATATTATCCTGAAATTCCAAAGCTATGTTACAAAGGAGCAAAAATGCAAAGATGGGCTTACTTAAGGTAAAAATTGACCTTCCTCGGGAAAGACACAGGCCTAGGACATGACTATTTGCCATGACTCACTTTTAGTTAGAAAGTTTTAATTTCAGACCATATGTAGAGGCTTTTCAGTCTCTCAGTTTGTAAGGCCATGGGAGAACACTCTTAAGCTGTCAGGTTTAGTATGTGCCTCCCTGCCCCACACTTGTTTGGTTCCCACAAACAGCCAGTGTAAGCAGTTAAGGCAGGTTATCCAGGGAAGGACACCTGCACTGAAAAATTCTTGGAGGTGCCACAGAGCTGGATGTGGGTCACTCAGGTCTCCTTTGTGTTAAAGACAAGGAAGAAGGGGGTACAAGAATCAGATTTATAAAGTGGCCAGATGGTAACTTGGGTATCTATTATGGAGATAATAGTGCATTTGCATAAGAGAAAGGACTTGGCGACTCCTGGGTTTAACAGGCTCCATCTGGCTGCGTACTGGAAAACATGATGGGGATGAATGGAGGAGCAGGGAGCCCTGGACCAGGCAGGTTCTGTAATTCATAGCAGATGGACCAGAGTTGGGCGTTAGAGGTAGGAGAAAAGGTTGGATTTTGGTACATGTTTTATTTCTTTAAAAAGTTTTATTTATTTTTAGATAGAAGGGAAGGGAGGGAGAAAGAGAGGGAGAGAAACAGCAACCCGTTGGCTCTTGGACACCCCTAACTGGAGGTCTGGCCTGAAACCCAAGTATGTGCCCCAGCCAGGAATGGAGCCCACAACCCTTTGGTTTATGGGACTGCACTCTAACCAACTGAGCTGTACCAGTCAGGGTTATCTTTTATTTTTTTTTTATTGTGTTTTTATCCATTACCATTTATCCACTTCATACCCACTTCCACCACCCTGCCTTTTCATTAAAAAAAAAAAAAAAGATTTATTTGTTTTAGGGAAGGAGAGAAACATCAATGTGTGATTTTTCTCTTGAACTGGGGACCTGGTCCGCAACCCAGGCATGTGCCCCCGACTGGGGACTTGAACAAGTGACTCTGGTTCACAGGCCAGCACTCAATCCACTGAGCCACACCAACCAGGGCCCTCTTCCATTTTTTAAGAAGGGCCACTATGGCCCTGCTGGTGTGGCTCTGGATTGAGTGCTGGCCTGTGAACCACAAGGTCACTGGTTTGATTCCCAGTCAGTGCACATGCCTAGGTTATTGGCCAGTTCCCTAGTTGGGGGCATGCGAGAACCAACTGATCAATGTTTGTCTCATACATTGATGTTTCGTTCCTTCCCATCCCCTGTCTCTAAAAATAAATAAGTAAATAAGTAAGTAAATAAATAAATCTTAAAAAAAAAAGACAGGTAAGTACAGCTTCATATTTTGCAGCTGCAGGAAAAAAGGAAAGAGCTCAAAACCACTGCAGCACTTTTGGTCCTAGCAGCTGAAGCAGTGGAGGCTCTATCAACTGGGCTGGGGAGGATGGTGGTAGGTTAATTCTCTTTGGGAATATCAGAATGTTGTTTTGGTTCACACTTTTAAAAGTTCGAAGAGCAGTGACTGGAAACACCCTGTGAGCACCTGAACATATGATTCTGTAAATCTGTGGAAGGATCCATGATGGAGTGAAGCAAAAGTGGAAGCTCTTTTGTACATGAGGGTGAAGGAGGCAGAGCTGAGAGAGTGAACTTGGGTGTGAAGATGTAAAGCAGGTAGAGATCACACAGTAACATGCACAGCTAGAGGGAATATGAGCTGATGGTCCTCCCAACCTGGTGTTGGGACATAAGGGGGAAGCATAAGCCCATGTTTGGCTCTGTTTTGGAGGAGTGATCTGGGAGACTCAGTGGAACTGTTTATCAGGAAGAATGGGGCCCTGGAGTCATGTACCCAAGTTTAGGTGGCAGTTTATCTGCCCTACTTCCTCATCTGCCTTACTTTGTGGAGGGTGATGAGAGTCATAAATGAGACTGATAAGACAGTAGGCATCTTTGACACCAAGCACTGGTGTCTTCTCTGAACTGGGGAGGCCCTGCAAGGGATTCAGTTAGGGAATATTAGGATTTCAGAGTCTGAGACAGACTCTGGATTCATTTGTTTTAATTCTGACAGGTCGTTTTGACCTTTGAGGACGTTGCCGTGTACCTCTCCAGGAAAGAATGGCTCCTCCTGGATGAGGCTCAGAGACGCCTGTACCTCGATGTGATGCTAGAGAACTATGCTCTTGTATCATCACTGGGTAAGACACTGACTCTCGCTGCGCACTGTTCTTTGGACTGCCTGCACCCCCCTTTCCTCATGGTTGCAGTTTGCTTCTGTCCTAAGCTCTAAGGGTCCTGACACCCAGACTTGTACTCAGATAGCAATGGACAGCAGCAACGGGAGTCACGCTTACCCCAATCCTGTGTCCAGAAGTCCTTTTTGTTCTTCATTGTTGGCAATTTTAATAAACTAACTCATGTTAATTAAAAAAAAAAAAAGCCCTCCATCTCACCAATCACTTGGATTAGGCTTTGCATCCCCCCAAGGCCTTCATTCCTCAGGGGTTGCTCTGTCCTCACATGTGGATTGTGCACACTGTTTGCTTTTCTAGATTTCTGGGTAGATCCTGAACTTGACAGAGCTGGTTTACTTGCAGTGCCCCCTATTCTCCCTGCTGCCCCCATACCTGCTGTATAGAATCTTCAGGGAAGGATTTGAGGTTACTGGTATTGCTGGAAGTCTAATAGATTTCACACTGATTAGTGAGAAAAAGCATTTTTAAATTTTCTCTATCATTTCTACAACTATATATTTTTTAATCCTCACTGCAAAATATTATTATTGATTGTTAGAGAGAAGGAGGTAGGAGGAAGGACAAATACCAATGTGAGAGGAGAGCATCGATCAGTTTCTTCCCATACATGCCTTTAACAGGGGATTGTCCCTGCAACCTGTGTTTGTGCCCTGACCAGGAATCAAAGCTGCAACCTTTTGGTACATGGGACAATGCTCTAACTAACTAAGTTACCTGGCCATGGCTGGACTATGCATATGTTCATTAAGTCTGTTTCCTCTATTATGTATTCAAACTTCAATAATTCCTTATTGCTTTCCAAAGGGATGATCCATTGTTGAAAGGGGAACGTTTAAGTTGTCTAGTACTGTTGCATTGTGCTTTCTGCCTTCAGATCTCATATCGTTTGCTTACGCACTTAGGTGCTCTTGGTTGGGTACATAGTAATTAAAATTGTTATCTTCTTTCTCTCTTTAGTGTTACTTGCATGGAATATATTTTCCATCTCTTTGAGTGTATTTGTGTCCATAAAGATTAATTATCTCTTGGAAAAAGCATATATTGTGTCTTGTGGGAATTTTTTTTTTTGGAACAGAAGGTAAGCTTAACCAGGCATCAATGTATTTATTCATTCATTTATTTATTTCTGTAAATATTTTTATTTTTAAATATCATTGACATATATTTTTATATTAGTTTTATGATTAGACATTGTATAACTTACTAAGTGATCATCTCCATAAATCTCACACTCGTCTGACAACATACGTTATTGGTAGAATGCTATTGACTATACTCTCTAGGTCAGGGGTATCAAACTCATTTTCACCGGGTGCCACATCAGCCTTGAAGTTGCCTTCAAAGGGCCAAATGTAATTTCAACTCCTTAACAGTTAAGGAGTAGTTACTTTTATACAGTCCTAAAATTATTTCAGCCCTTTGAAGGCAACTGCGTGGTTAATGTGGCCCCCAGTGAAAAAGAGTTTGACACCCCTTCTCTAGGCTGTCCTTTACATCCTAATGATTACTTGGTAACTGCCAATTTGTACTTTTTAATCCCTTCATCTTTTTCACCTATGATAAGAATTTTTTAAGTGTTTATGTGAGGCAAACAGATGACAGTAGCCAGAAAGCCAGATATCAAATGCTTTTGTATTTTGTTGTTGTTTTTTTAAAGATTTTATTTATTTATTTATTTATTTATTTTAGACAGGGGGAAGGGAGGGATAAAGAGAGGGAGAGAAACATCAATGTATGGTTGCCTCTCATGTGTCCTCTACTGGGGACCTGACCTGCAGCCCAGGCATGTGCCCTGATTGGGAATAGAACCAGCAACCCTTTGGTTTGCAGGCTGGCACTCAATCCACTTATCCACACCAGCCAGGGCTGTATCTTGTGTTTTTATTCCATCAGTCACTCTTATGTCTCTTGATTGAAGAATTTTTTTAAAAAATATTTATTTTTAGACAGTGGGGAAGGGAGGGAGAAAGAGAGAAACATTGCTCTGCACCAGGGAACCTGTTTCACAACTCAGGCACGTGTCCTAACTGGGAATCAAACCAGCGACAGTTTGCTTTGCAGTCTGGTGCTCAAGCCACTGAGCCATGCCAGCCAAGGACTGATTGAAGAATTTTTTGAAGGTCCTACTATTGCCACGTTGTCATGTTTTCTGCCTCTTGTGTACTTCTTTTTTTGTCTTCCTATCTTGCTTTTCTTTTTTTTTTAGATTTGATTCTTTCTCTTGGGCATCCATTAGACAGGCTTGTGCTTGTGTTTTGTTTTTATTAAACTTCATAAAACAACTCATACTCTTAACACTTCATTGTAACCTTGAAACAGCTTTGCTTGCATGCAAAAAAATTACCCTCGACTCCCTGCTATATCACCACTTTATATTTTTGATGTCACAGTTCACGTCTTTCTATATTGTGTGTCTATTTACAAATTCTTGTCACCATTGTTATTCTCAATACACTTAATTTTTATCCTATACAGTAGAGTTAAATAAAGTATACTTCACCAAGAACTGTTCTAGTATTCAGAACTTGATGACATCCTGGCCTTACCAGAGTATTTTATACTTTGCTACAGGCTTCTATTTCTATGTAGCATGTGTTTATTTTAGCTGATGTATCTCTCCTCCACCCCAGCCCCCTACATTTCTAGTAAGTCAGGATGAATGGAAATTAACTTCTTCACATTTTGTCATTCCAGGAAAATGTGTTTTTTTTCCTTGTTATTTCTGAGGAAGAGCTTTTCTGGATTAAGTATTGCCAGTTTGCAGATATTTTCCTTTAGTGTTTTGAATACATCATTTGGTATTCTCCAAGACTGCAAGGTTTTTTCAGAGAAATCTGTCGTTGGCCTTATGGGGAGTGTTGTCCTTATATAGGAGTGTCTATTCTCTTTGGTCTTTCAAACTTATTCTTGTTTTTGATTTTTGACACTTTTATTATAATGTATCTTGCTGAAGTTCTGTTTGCATTAAACGTGTACTGGGACCTGGGAGGATCTTTAAGATGACTATTCACACTTCTTTTCATATTTTCAGGTTGAACTTTAACTCATTTTTTAAATTAAAAATGTTATGCTTCTTCTTCCTCTCCATTTTTCTCTTGCTCTCTTTTTTTCTCTTTTTCACCCCCTCTGGGACCCCCATAATACAAATATAGGTTATCTCTGTGGTGTTTTAGTATTCACATAGGCCGTCTTCAGTTTTTTTCTTTTACATGGATGTTTTCAAATCGCCTGCCTCTGAGGTGATATATTCATTTTACTCCTTGATCTTGTCTGCTTTTGAAAGTCTTTTGCATTTTTCATTTCATTCATAATTTTCTGCAACTTCCAAATTTCTGTTTCATTCTCTTTTATGATTTCTATATTTCTGAACTCCATGTTTTTTCCCATATTTGCTTGTTCATTATGTTGAGTTCCATGTGTATTCGCCTGTGCCTCACTGATGTTTTTGGATTTTTTTTGTTTATTTTTTAAGGATTTTATTTATTTATTTTTAGACAGAGGGGAAGGGAGGGAGAAAGCGATGGAGAGAAACATCAACATGTGGTTGCCCCTTGCATGCTCCCCACTAGGGACCCAGCCTGCAACCCAGGCATATGCCCTGACTTGGAATTGAACCGCTATGCTTTGGTTCACAGTCTGGCACTCTATCCACTGAGCAACACCATCCAAGGCTCCAACTGATGTTTTTAAAAATTATTATTTGAATTATTTTTCTCATAGTTTTTATACCTCCAGTTTTTTTGTTTAATTCACATTAAAATTATGATGTGTCTTTTGTCACTTTTTTTTCATATTTCCCTTTGTCTTAGTGTTGTGTGATATTTGATTAAACAGTTATTATTTTTTACTTATGGGCCAATTCTGTTTATAGAACTGGTTTTTCTGCATATGCACATAATGGTACTTTCTAAGTGGTTTGTTGTGTCTGGAGTGATGATGTTTCACTTCCCATTCTTCTTGTAGCCCCATGAGCTAGGTCACTCTATTGAAGATTGAAGGGTTGATCAGTGGCCAGGGCTGCAGCTTCCAACTATTTAACAATCTCTTTTGGAGTTTTAGTGACACAAAACAGGCCACTAGAATCAATGGTAACATAAGCGCTGTGTCTCCAAGGTTTTACCCTTGTGTTTTGCATCTAACCTTATTTGCTAAGCCTGCACTCCAACTCCACTTCATATTATGCTCTACTTTATCGCTCTTTGGAGTTACTGGTCTCTTAAGCCTCTCTTCCATTTCTGAAGGGATGTTGTTTATCATGGATAATTGTCTGATTATTTTGGAAGGGGTAGAATATTTGTATCTTTTCTTCTGCCACATTGCTATTGTCATTCACATAGATCTTTCTCTTTTGGTTTGTTTATACAGAGTTGTTCTATGACAGTGCTGGTTATTCATCTCGTCTGTTTTCTCTTTGAAGTTCCATCATCGGTATTCCATGTAAATACTTAATTGGGAGGGAAGTAGAAGAGTCCTTTGTATATCACACGGGTGACATGAGTCCAGCCAGGACAGGATAGGCTCACAGAAGATCTGGCATTAATTAATGGCCATTGGGGAAAATTTGCTTCCATGACGTTATTAAAATATAATGAGGAACCTGTTCTCTTTAACTGTATTTTGTCACCATTGCCAGTGCCTACAGTTTAATCTACTTGTCCTTTTCCAGTGTTGCCACATTGCCAGTTTGTCACTTTTAATAGTTTTCCTTTCTCCTCTGACTTCCAGCTGTGATTAATCTTCACCTCTCTAACCTTAACACCACAACCATTTCTCTGAGGAATCACTTTGGTGTGCTTTTCAATTTTGATTAATGCCTTTTTGTCCTGAATTGTGCACATATTCCATACAAAACCTGCACAGCATATACTCTGCTGTGGTTGATTTTCATGGTTTGGGGCACATTCATACCCAAGTGTACAGTCTGACGTCAGTGAGGAAGGGTTTTCCAGGCAGCCATTAGCAGAGGAACAACTTGTAAACTGTGCCTCTCTTCCTTGTGTCCCTTCCTATCTTAGTGTCCTTTGTTTAATGAGGTCCCCATTATCTACTGACCTGAGGCCTTTCTCAGAGCCTATCTCACTAATCTGGGAAATCATCACATAGATGCATGTCAGATGTTTCAGATTCAAATTGGTGTTGAATAAACCTCCTCCCTATAGGTCACTATGTACTTCACTAGCACTTGTTTTTCTTCAGGTTGCTGCTGCGGATCAGAGGACATGGTGGCACCCATGGAACACAATATTTCTGTAAGAAAGTTGGAGGCTAAGAATCCTAAGTCTGCCAAGTCTTCCCAGAATAGCCACCCCTGTGAGAGTTGTGAGCCTATCTTGAGAGACATTTTCCTCATGGTTGACCAGCACAGAATACAAAAAAGGCCCACACTGCTGAGGTGTGGGGCATGTGCAAAACCATTTTATTTCAGTGCACAGTATAACAAGCACCAGGAGGAGCATACAACAAAGAATTCTTTCATAGGCAGTGTGGACAGAGTCTCAAGTGCAAAGAGCTCCAATTTCAATGCATCATGGAAGCCTTGTACCTCTAGTAAGGGAGGAAAATGCTTTGTCATCATCCCAGGACATATTGAGCAACTGGATGCTCATACCATGCACAGAGCAAACAAAATCGCTAAATCCAAAATGACTTTTCAAAGTAAAAAGTATTACATCCCAAGAGAATGCAAGAAAGCCATTGGCTGCGATGACACACTTGTTGAGGACCAGAGATTTCTTACAGGAAGACAGCGTTTTGTGTGTTGTGAATGTGGAAAATCTTTTACCAATAGCTCTTCCCTTTGTGTTCATCAGAGAGTTCACACTGGAGAAAGGCCTAATAAAGGCAGTGAATGTGGAAAATCTTTCACCAGTATCTCTGACCTTTGTAAACATCAAAGAGTTAACACTGGAGAAAGGCCTTATGGGTGCAATATATGTGGAAAATCTTTTACCAGTAGCCGGAACCTCCGTGGTCATCAGAGAGTTCACACTGGAGAAAGGCCTTATGAGTGTGGTGAATGTGGGAAATCCTTTACCCGTACTAATGCCCTCCATTATCATCAGAAAGTTCACAGGGGAGAAAGGCCATATGAGTGCGGTGAATGTGGAAAATCTTTTACCAGTAGTTGGAATCTCCTTTATCATCAAAGAGTTCACACTGGCGAAAGGCCTTATGAGTGCAGGGAATGTGGGAAAAGTTTTACCACTCGCTCTCTTCTTCATATTCATTTGAGACTTCACACTGGAGAAAGGCCTTATGAATGCAGTGAATGTGGGAAGTCTTTCACCAGTAGCTCTGCCCTTCATTCTCATCAGAGAGTTCACACTGCAGAAAAGCCTTATGAATGTGGTGAATGTGGGAAATCATTTAAGATGAAATACAACCTTAATTGTCATCAGAGAGTGCACACTGGAGAAAAGCCTTATGAGTGCTCTCAGTGTGGGAAATCCTTTACCAATCGCAGTCTTCTTCATATTCATCTAAGACTTCACACTGGAGAAAGGCCATATGAATGCAGTGAATGTGGGAAATCTTTTACCAGGACTTCTGCCTTCCATGCTCATAAGAGGGTTCACACTGCAGAAAAGCCCTATGCATGTGGTGAATGTGGGAAATCATTTAAGTTGAAACACCACTATAATTCTCACCAGAGACTTCACACTGGAGAAAGGCCTTATGAATGCTCTCAATGTGGGAAGTCTTTTACCCGTAGCTCTCTTCTTCGTATTCATCAGAATTCACATTGCAGAAAGAACTCAAGAGTGCAGTGAATATAAGAAGTACTTTACAAAAAGAACCATCCTTTATTAAACACCATTGAATTCATTCTGGAGAAAAGCCATATCAGTGAAGTTAATGTGGAAAAACTGATATGAATAGCTCTGTGTTTTTCATAACTGTAGTGTTTACACAGGATTAAAGGCGTTTTGGGTACAGTAAAACTGAGGTATCTTTAACATGAACTCTGCTGTCTGTTATCAGAGATTTCACAGAGGAGATAGCTTTTATGAGTGCTCTGACAGTAGGACATCTTTTTCCTGGGGCTGTTACCTCTGTTGTCATCAGAGAGTTCACACAGCTGAATGGCCTTATGCCTGCAGTTAATGTGGAAGTCTTTTTTTATATCAATGATTTTTCTTATTATGAGAGAATTTACACTATGGATACACCATTTGAGTGCTGTGAATGTGGAAATTTAAGAGTCACCACTATTTTTATTGTCATCATGAAATTCACAAGGATTAAATTTTCATAAGTTAAAATTTGGGAAACTTCCAGTCAAGGTGGCAGAATAGGCAGACGTGGCTCACCTCTGAACAGCCACATCAAAATTACTACTAAGGTGTAGAACAGCTGTTACTAAGGAATGTCAGAAATGAAGCTGAATGGAAGTCTGACAACTATGAAATTGAGTTGAATGGAGTTCTAACAAAATTAAAGAAATAACATCGATACTGACTAGTAGGAAGGGTGCAGACATGGAAAGGCTGGTATCACAACCACATGGATAAAAATTCATGAGTGATATCTCAGGAGCCAGGGATCCCAAACTCACACCAGGGCCCCCAGACCAGGATTCCAATGCCAAGAAGATAAGTCCCCACAACTTCTGGCGGCAACAAAAAGCAGCAGGGACTGAGTCAGTGGAAGAAACTGCTGGAGCCACAAGTAGGTCCTCTTAAAGAACCCACACATGGACTCAATTACACAGACTCAGTCCCTCTGAGCTGCAGCACCAGGATAGCAGTTTGAATGGCACCATTGGTCTACTGGGAAAAACGGAATTGTCTTTCTTCAAGGTGAGCAGAGGCCACAGGTACCTTTGCTGTATCCTCCTTCCATAGAGCTGATAAGCTGGTGCCATGCCTGATACTCTTATCAACCTGTTAACTCTTATAACACTGTTGTACCTGCCCTGGAGATTCCCCAAAGAATCTGCCCTATTCAACTTAAGGTCCCACCCAAGCTGCTTTTCCATATGAATGGCTGGTTTTGACTCATGCTTCACACCTTATTAAATTCTATTAAACAAGCAGCAGCTGTCCTCAGTAAACCCCAGGCCTGGCAATAGCAGCAGCCAGTCTCGTTTCACAGCTTGGCTTCACCTGGGAATCTCCAAGCTCAGCATAAGTAACAGCCATCTCAGATTGTTTTATATTTCAGGTAGGGTGGCCCAGGGCAAAACACAGATGGGACAGATCTTGCACATGTGGTGGGCAGCTATAGACCACATCAGAGTGCCAACATCCTGCCCCTGCACAACTGATCTTTCACGTAGAGTAGAGAGTGGTGGGCAGTGGTCACAGCCAGTTCTCGTACCTGACTGGCCTGAGTAAATCCCATTGATCTTCAACAGCAATGAAGGCTCAACTACAAGAGATGGGTATAATTTGTCCACATGAAGGGTGCACCTTGAGTGCCCAGCTAGCGTGATGGGGAAGGTTGTGCCACTGGACACTATAGGACACCTACTACATTAGGCCACACTGTGAAGACATGGAGTCAAAGCAGCTCTACCTAATTCATAGAAACAAACATAGGGAGGCTGCCAAAATGAGGAGACAAAGACAGCCCAAATAAAAGGACAGATCAAAACTCCAGAAAAAGCTAAATGAAATGAAGATAAGCAATTGATCAGATGAATATTTCAAAATGCTGGTTATTAGGATGCTCAAGGAACTTAGGATATCAGCAGTAGAAAAATACCCAGTGAGGAATGAAGGATACAGTAATTTACAGGGAAACAAAGGTAGAGTGGATGAAGCTGAGAATCAAATCAATGATTTGGATCATAAGGAAGCAAAAAACAACACACAACAAGAAAAGAATTTTTAAAAATGAGGATAGTATAAGCCCTGGCTGGCGTAGCTCAGTGGATTGAGTGCGGGCTGTGAACCAAAGTGTCGCAGGTTCAATTCCCAGCCAGGGTACATTCCTGGCTTGCAGGCCATAACCCCCAGCAACCACACATTGATGTTTCTCTCTCTACATCTCCCTCCCTTCCCTCTCTAAAAATAAATGAATAAATCTTTAAAAAAAAACACAAAAAAATGAGGATAGTATCAACAGCCTCTGGGACAACTTCAAGGGGTATGACATTTGAATCAGGGGTGCCAGAAGGAGAAGAGAAAGCAAGAAATTAAAAATCTCTGATAAAATAGTGAAAGAAAACTTCCTGCTCTGGCTGGTGTGGTTCAGTGGATTGAGCAATGGCCTGCGAACCAAAGGGTCACTGGTTAAATTCCCAGTCAGGGCACATGCCTTGGTTGTGAGCCAAGTTGTGGCCCCGGTAGGGCGTGTGCAAGAGGCAACCACTCATGATGTTTCTTTCCCTTTCCATAAAAATAAATAAAATATTTGTTAAAAAGGAAAACTTCCTTAATTTTGTGAAGTAAACAAACATGCAAATCCGGGAAGCATAGAGTCCAATATGATGTTTACAAAGAGGCATACTCCAAGACACATCATAATGAAAAGGCCAAAGGTTTAAGATAGAGAGGCTCTTAGAAACAGCAAGGCAAAATAAGTTCCTTACTAGATGGTTGCCAGATGGAAGGGGAAGTGGGAGAATGGATGAAGAGGTGAGGGGATTTTATATGTTCACATGTCTCAGAAGTTTAATGTTGAAATTTTGAAGAATGTAACAAATATGATCTAAACTAATTGTGCCTTTATGCATTCTTACTCAGTGTATGAGGGTTGCATTTCCCCACTCTTAAGAAAATAGAGATTTGTTTAAATTTTATAATTTAACTCTTTTTGTTTGTTTTTCATGCTCTTTCTGTTTAAATTGCATTTTTCTAAGGATTTATGATCATTTTTGGAGAATTGTATGTACTACTGATATGTTTTTAGCAAAATGTGTGCTCACATAATTCACCTATTTTATGAATTTGGGGAACTTGTCTTTAACAAGTAGGACAGTTGGAACTACAGATTTCTATGTTGTAATGTCACCCATTTTCACTCCTTGAATAAAATAATTTTCACTTTGTGGAATAATTTTTTTGGAGTAATTGTTTTTAATATTAGAAAGCATGCCCAAAAGACTTGGATTATTCTTGCGGTACACAGTGTGCTAGGTACACATATACTTTAAAGAATAATCTGCATTATTAACTGCCACGTCCTCTTCCAACCATGTTGTCTGACAAGGTCCGAATGTGGAAAGGAGGAATTCAAGGAATCCATCTTCCTGGAAGAGAACATGGCATACAAAGGGGGGCAGTAATTTTCCTGGGGATTGCTCTTAATAATTTCCTTGCTAATATTAATCATGGTCTTACTTTGTACCCTGATTCCCATAAGAACAGGCCGTGAGGAGAAAGAGGCTCAAAGTAAGTCCATGATTAACTTTGAGGGAAATTCTGAAGGGATAACTAGTTCTCCCCAGACTATTGAATCATGCCCAAATTGTTTAAACAAGGTGTTTATAAACCTGAGTAAGAAATTATCCCTGACTGTCCCATAAAAGAATTCATGAATCAGTTACAACAGGCTAAATTATTGGCAGATTCTCCCACACCTGTTCCTTATCCACAGATACAAAGGGTTTCCAAGAAAACAAGAAAAAACTATTAGACCCCTACCCACAGCCCAGGGATACCCCTGGGTAGCATATTGGATTAATTGGCAAATTATGGTATTCCCCAAGAGGAGCTAATAGTCTCCAGAGGGTTCCAGATCCCCCATTGCCTTATACAGGAGCATATAATGAGGATGACATTAGAATGGTCAATAAGGATGGAGTCCAAGTGCCTTATAATAGTCTAAATTTCATGGAAAGGTTAGCTCGAAGCAGACCTCCCTGGTGTTTATTAACTAAGGAACAAAAAAGGTCACTATTCCGCCAGCTTGTCAAAGGATTTTGCCCACATTTCCCCCTATCATGCAGCAGCTGCCAAAAAGAACTCTTTGAACTATCCAAACAAAAATAGAATAAGACATGAGAAAGTCAAGAATGGCCTGTACCCTACAAAATTTAATAAAATTGTCTATCACCTTTTAGGTCAAAAGGTTTACTGTGGCTGGATTTCCTGTCTATCTCTCCTTACATGTTTGTTTTGGTGATCAAAAGGTGGTGGGATTGTTAGATACCTGTATTTCAGGTTTATTGATTCGCATAATTCCAATGAAGTTGTACAAAATAATTTCTTGACCAGAGAACAAAATCCCCTCTAATGAAATAGCCCCTGAATGTCTAAAAGTTGTTGGAGTAACAGCCCCTTTTTTACCTTGAATAGGAATATATATCAATTAGAATTAGACAGGCAAAGAAATAAGAAAAGCTGGTTAGCTATTACAAACTAAGCATGTAGAAACAATTACCAGGGAGTCAGAGTCCATAGTATATAAAGAAACATTTTAGATAGAATAGATAGATAGCTAAGTTAGACATCACAAAGGCATTATAATAAATTACCTATAACCTCTACTCAATCTAGCATATCCTTTTGCCCCATGACAAATTCTAAAAACTTTAAGAAACAATAAGACATTCATACATACAGCTATTTTTAATGTCTGATTTAAAAGGTCCCTAGACTAGCATGACCTGATACCCAGGTAGAAAATTTCCTGCTTCGCCTAACCGCAAATGTTAATCACTGCCAAAAAATGAAAATATAAAAACCTGCTTGTACTTGCAATAAATGGAACAGAGCTTCACCGTCCTTTGAGTCGTGTTGTCATCTGTCTCCCATCGCCAACGCCTTACCCACCTTTCAGGAACCCCTGGACCCAGTTGTGGCCAGACCTCAGCAATTAACACACTTCATCACTTTTGTAAATTCAAACTTATAGGACTGTAATTAAAAAGCCTTGCTTTTTAGTTTTTGTTTTTATGGTGTGTTGTCTGGTGTTTGCTGGCTGCTGCAGGACCCGTAGATGCTCCAGGTGAAATCAGTATGAACTGGTATTTGTTGAGTCAGAAGTCCAAAAGAAGAGTCAGTGATTAAACTCCTCATACCTTGGGCCTTCCAATATGGCTTTAAATCTTAGATAATTGACCATAGTTTTGATTATAGAAAAGTGATGCACTCTATGGCCTCAGTATTTTCCTGTGTAAAATAGGGATAAAAAGCAACCTTGCCCTGGCTGGAGTGGCACAGTGAGTTGAGTGTTACCCCACCAACTAAAAGGTTGCAGGTTCAATTCCCAGTCAGGAATTGGTTGTGGGCCAAGTCCCCAGTAGGGGTGCTTGAGAGGCAAGCACATATTCACGTTTCCCTCTCTGTCTCTCTTCATCTCTCTAAAAATGAAATCTTTTTTAAAAAGCAGCATTCCTCCCTGAAAGGATAAAAAGTCCCCTTTTAGGCCCTCTTTTTCCAGAGCTACCTATTCACTTCTTGACCCTGTCAGGCAGAATTAATTTGTTTTCTGAGCCTCTTCTCAGGACTGGAGAGATTACTGAAAATGTCCTTCCCATAGGTGGTTTAGAAACTTATACATATGGCATATCGGACCAAAAGGCCTGGACCTAAACCCAAAGATAAGAGCATAATAAACTGAACCCTGCATAATCACCCTGAAACCTATTTTATACCTAATTGCCATGACTACCCATATGCACACACCTCATCCTTTGTAACCCAATAAAAAACTCACAACCCCAACCTTTCACCAAGAGTGCTGCCTGTCATACACTTAGGCCACTGTCCTCTCTTGGAAAGTGAATAAAACCTTGCTCTCTGCATTTTCTCTTTGTGAAGTTTCTCACTGCCAGTGTCACTGTCAATGCTAATAACCCCAGCCTTGGTACTTATTTGGAAAGTAGTGACTATACCATCAGTCATCACGTATTGTTGCCACCCACACACCAGACATCACTGGGACCTTCTGCCCCACGTGCTTGTGAAAATGAATGGAGCTTCTCAGATTCTCCATATCTGCTACAGTCCACATGGACTCAGCCTTGTGGACAATGTGACTTCAGGGCTCCTTGGTCTCAGTATGATTTCCCCACTGGGGCATCTGAGTGATAATAAAACTCCCCAAAACTCACTTCATTAACTTATGAATTTAATGAAGGCAGGAACTATGACCCTGATGAGGATCACTAGAGTTATGAAACTCACTGAACCCTTACAAGTACTAATATTTCAAGATTTGCTTTTTGATCATTTTGATTTTTTTAATATTTCACTTTATTTTTAGAGAGAGGGGAAAGGAGGGAGACAGAGATGGAGAGAAAATGGATCAATTGGTTGCCTCTCCCACTGGGGGACCTGGCTCACAACCCAGGCATGTGCCCTGACTGGGAATTGAACTACCAACCTTGGCTCTGCAGGCTGCCACTCAGTCCACTGAGCCATACCAGCCAGAGCTTGGTCATTTTTAAAATTCTAACAGCACCCTAGAGATTAGTATCTTACTGTATATTTGAGGAAGTTGACAATTGGGAAGAAGAGTCAGGTTTTTCAAGGTCACAGAGTAGACGAATGTCAGATTGAAGTGGCTGGGTTCAAATTAATGAATCTGGCTCTGTGGGTGGGGGCAATCTCTACCATGGCATAGTAAACTATCTTTCTGCATGTTTACTTATCTTTTGCATGACTGGCTTCC